TTACAACCGCGCAAGTGCACTCTTTCGCCACTTTTGCCTCGATTGTTTTAATCTGCAATGAACTTGACTCTCGACTTTGCGCGACCATTGTTGCGATGAGTGCTGCATCGACGGCTTGCAGTGGAATCACGCGTCCAAGATGTTTCACAATGGTTGTGCAATAGGCCTGCGTCTTGTCTCGATACTCTTGGGAGGCTAGATAAAACTCTTCTAAATTTAGCTTCCAAATCCCCTTGGCTAACGTCCCGACAATTCAGTTGGAATAGGTGTCCATCTTATTGGCAGAATTGCGGAGCCGATTCCGACGTCTAACGCACCTGCATTTGCGTAACGAAGCTCTGGTTCTTACACTTGAAAAAGCTGAAAGAGCTGCCTTGAGTTGGACCGACATTTGGACAATCCAACTTGCTGACGACGACCTCGCTTCCGATGGCGCGCAAACTTCAGCTGCGACCCTTGCCCTTTGGCAATTCGTTACTAACGTCCGGTCGACGACTAATTTTTATTAATTATCGCAATCATATAACAGGTAAGCGACAGATTTCACGAATTAATTGTAAGCCTAAATAAAATTAGATGCGTTGCGTGGCGATGCTGCTGTAAAAATCAGCCACCAATACATTCACTTTCGAGGAGTTAATTCGCAAATAACGCGGAATGCCGATGCTAAGCTTCCCGAGCGCAATGTCCGAAAACACGATTGAAGCGATTGAAAGATCGAAGCGAACAAAGCGAAGACGAATACAGTACGAGAGAGCGGAGTTTTCATTGGTCGACGAGTCGGTTGGGCTGATGATGCCTGGCTGCAAGACCGTCAAAAACAAGATTATTCGCGGATCTGCGCGAGCAAACAATTTTTCATACCCCCCTTGGCGCGAAATTACGCTTATCGAGCTCGTATTGTTCCGAGGGGAAGGACTGATTTGTTTTCTTTTTTTTTTCTCGCCAAGTTCTTTCTTTGCCCGAAGAACCAAACGATCGTTGCTTTGTGCTTCGAGTGTACTTTTCAATTTTTCCAACGACCAATCACGCTGGAAACTCGGCGTTTGTTTCGCGTCTGAATATTCAGCGAAAGCAACGCCATCCGTTTGCCCCATCGTAAGCTTCGAGCACGAGAGTTCTTCTGCCTTTGTTTGACCTTACGCGCATGACCCTTGTGCCTCGATCGCGGCGTCGGCAGTAGCGGAGAATCGACGATCGTCGGCCCCCGTAAATCTGTCGCCGACAAAAGGTGCTCGTCGACGAGCGTATCGTGACGCACGCGGAGATGCAGATCGCGAAAGATAAGCGAGCGATGCAAGGACGAAAAGAAACGAAGAATCGCTAACGATATCGGAGATTGGGGTCAAGGCGCCGTCTCCATCTTCATGAAAACGAAAGCGTTTCATTGTGCTCTGAATTAGGCGGGTCATTGCTATAGCCGCGCTCCGATCACGCTTATTCCGGCTGATCGCTTTCGTTCAAAAGTTTGTCGGCTTCTTCGCTTTCCTCCTTCAATTTTATACTTTGGCTTCGCATTCTAATTCAGCTACGACCATTGCTTTCTTACTACGCGTTACGTTCATTCGACTGACGTCGATGTTGCAACGTGCCTCCTGTAACGTTAGCTCGCGTAGCCTTTGCTCGACGGGAGCTTTCTTTGATGTTTTAGGCAAGTTGCAATCTCCGCAGCTTCCTCCATCGGACAAATCGTCCGCTCGAGCGAGTTGCGACAACGTTCGCGCGTCACTAGACGAAGAAAAAAAAATCATTTGGAATTTCAGCATCGGTTTGTGAGCTCAAAGCGACAATAATAAAGCTGCCGACCAATCAATAACAAATCTCTTAATCGCCGCTTAGCTGCGTCAACACGCGCACGTTTTCTATCGAGCCGCGATAATTCCACAGGCGACCGAGAGTTAATGACAGACCGGGTGCGAGGGTATATCGATTCGCTTTTCATCGGCGATAGCGGCCACGACGACGAGCGAATGTCAGGTTCGGATGTTCGCGCGAACGTTGCGGCAAAGCTCGGCGGTCAATAGCGCGCCGATCGATCGGATTCTCATCGGCGAACACGGATCGACGCGCGATTAGCGTTGCGATAGGCCGCGCATCGATCTACTTTCGGCCGTCAATTATTCAGCCGGCAGATCGCTGCGCAGTTTCGATCGCGCCGACAGTTCTGGAGGGCTATTGTCGTCCTCGTTCGTACTTGGCCCGGCGCTTAAAGTTTTCATTGTCGACTGGTGATTCAGCCAAGGATCGATACTCCCGACGTCGTAGCGGTCTTCTCCGGCGTGACGACACGTCTGCATCGTAGCCGAGTCGGGCGCAAAGTTTTTGCAAGCAGTTTCGCGGCGCGTCCTTGCGATCTATTTTAGCTGCGCGCCACCGCGAGACTCGCTTGCGGCGGGGCAAATTCGATTTGGTCATTAAGGATGTCCGAGCTGAAGTCTCCTCGCGCGTCGTTCGCCGAGTTACCATCGACTGTCGGCGGTCATATTCTTCGGACGCTCTTGTACGCGTCGCTTATCTTTCAATATCGGCCCGACCGTATCTCAAATATTCCCGATCGAGCGTTATAAAAATAATCGGCATACGCTCACGTGCTATAGAATCATTTGGAATATCGGGCGGACGTGCTCTTCGCGAGGAGCCGATAACACCGCATTCCCTTGTGATTTTTCATGGATTCCAGTGTTAGATCGTCCGTTTGATGTTCACTGGATTATTTTGGCATAGACGAACACGTAATCTTCTTATCAGTTGACCCGCACTTAGTCGGTACAATTTCTTTTTGCGACCGATGACGTATAACGAGAAGATAGCGTTGCTCGCGCCCTGCCGCGGTTCCTGCCGCGGCGTGTCTCGTGCCGCGCGCCGAAAATCAGTTTCTCGGCGTGCGCATCCCTGCCGGCGCTCGACCGACAACGCGACTTCAATTCTTTCTTGAGGTTCGCCGAAAGATCTGTTCCGTGCAGCCGTTATTCGCCTGTGTACCGCTCAACGAGTCATTAAACCGATTTCCCCTTCTTTGCTCGTTGCTCGTTATCCTGCGACGTCCGACCCGTGGCCCCTCGTCTCGTCACCGCCAACCTTTCCGTCCTTCGGAAAGAAAAACACGCGCAAGCTCGAAGGCTGTTGTCAGCGCCAACTTTGCTCGCGAACGTTCGTCCTCTCTCGGTGAGGCTTCGAAAAAACGAAATAAAAAAAAAAAAAAAGAAAAAGAAAAAACAAGGAAAGCAAAAACAAAACGAGAAGAACAAGCGCGCGGCCTCGGCGCGCGCATTCGTTAAGTGCGCTTCCCATCGGCAATTTTATTTTTAAATGACTGGCGGTTCACTGGCCACCGTCCGAGATGCGCGCGCTTTACATATAAATACACCGAGTGCTTGCGTAATTCCCACTGCTTACCTGCGTGACAGCTCTTCTCTGTTTTGCTCTTATCTTGCATTATTTTCCAGCATTCGGAGCGTGCCTCGCTAAATAGGGTCAAACCTCGACGTTCGACGTCGCTGAATCGCAGCGCGTCTGTAGGTGTGTCGAGGCGCGGATCGTTCCTCTTCGCTCTCGCTCTCTCGCCCTGACGCGTTGTCTGGGGAAAAAAAGTTTCGAGATACCGCGTCGGCCTGACAAAACAATAATCGACCGTCGGGCTGAGAAGAGGAAACGAAAGGAAAGAGAGAGAGAGAGAGAGAGAGAGAGAACAAAGAAAAAACAACGATTCGCTGGGAACCGGCCGTTCTCCAAAAAAAAGAAAAACAAACAAAAACAAAAAAGAAAGAAACGATACAGATAAGACGGCAGCACTGCTGCACGCCGTTGTCGAATGCTCCTTCGCGGTTTCGCGCAATCGCAGCCGTCCTTCTTTTCTCTTCTCGCTCCTCTCTCGTTCTGTCGCGCAGACTCGATCTTGCGTTGCGTCGCCTCCCTCGTTAACCGAGAATGTCGAAGATAGCGTGATATTCGTGGCCGACGCGTGCGAAGTGCCGCCGCCAGAGATAACGGCTGCTCCTCGTATCTTTCGTCATGCGAGCTTAACGGAAAACGGTGGCCGCGCTTTCGCAACGTACGTCGCTCGATATTCCTACGTGCGTGCGTGTTTCAGCTGTAACGTTTGCCATCTCTTTAAATCTCTTGTGGCACATGGATTTTCACCGCGCAGGCGCATCTGTTGGATCGTATAATACAGTGTATTGTGCAGCTTCTATATACAGCATAGGTAAAGGGGAGAGCGAGCGAGCGAGAGAGAAACAGAGAATCACACGGCGTCGGTGACATGCCAAGGAGGGGCGTCGGCGGAGAGTGTTGTATGGTGAAGTCTAGTCGTCGGAGATTATTAGAAGAGGACCGACATCGGGGAAGGAGAGAGTTATTTACGAGGCTCTTAGAATACACACACACACACACATATATGTAATTGGAAAGGTGTGTGTGTGTATATATATATATATATATATATATATATATATATATATATATATATATATATATATATATATATATATATATATATATATATATATATATATATATATATATATATATATATACCTTACAAATGTTGCGCCGGTCATAGTGGAATGCTCAACCACGAATAGTTGATTTCATTTGCTGTGAATCTACATGGATCGCATGGATTCTCGATGCAGTATTATGCGATATACAAGCGCGGGGGGGGGGGGGGGGTAAGCGAAATTATAAGAGTAAAAATCATAGCGACTGTCCGCTACACACGGTACAACAGTGCGCGTTCCGTCAATGTACATATTGCGCTAAAATTACAAAAGCTCTTTGATGTGTCCAAAACACGCACGCATAGACTATATCGCTTCCGTGATTCTCCTGTACAGCGCTGTAGAGAAGAGCTCATCTCGCCTCTTGCCCCTCCAGTTGCTGCCAGCGCACAGCTAATGCTCGTTGCGCCGGCGCCCCACCTCTTGACTCACTCTCTCTCTCTCTCTCTCCGAGCGGAGCCCCGTTATAAAACCGAAGCGACGCCGCGGCGGCAGCTTTAGTGCAGCTCGACTGTTCACATTGCGAGTGTCGTTTACTCCTCTGTCTTTCCCTTCCTGTTCAATTCGTTTCGGTTGATCTTACTCTGTCTGTTTATTGTTTGCGATCATTCGCATTCGAGTGCGTCTTCAGTGCTTGACTCGTCGTCGAAGACACACATCTCAACTGTAAGCCATCGCCACCTAAACTGTAAGAGCCCGTCGTCTGTCGTTTCCGCGAGAGTGATAGCTTTAATTGCCGTGGAAGTGGAAGTAGGCAAAGTGTGCCTGCGTATGAACGAGTGAGGACGCGCGACCGAATGTTTACAAAGCGTGTGCGTGTGTTATTGTTGCAAAACCGGCCCAAGTTCAACGCGCACGCGTCGTAGCAGCGGAGAGTACGAGTTCAGCATAGTTGACCCGACCCCGACCGCGCTGGCTGTCCAATCGATAGCACAACCTCTCTTTCTGTCGCCTCCCTTTCGTGCCACATGCTTTTCTCGAAAATCTTTGTGTCGAACGACGAGATTTCAAATTTCGACGGTTAGCCACGCACTCTTAATCCGAAGCTGCGTCGCCTACGCCAGCGACGCTCAACCTCTTCCCCGACGCAAGCCTCTATACCACGCCACGCTCGAACGTATAGTTGATGCAGCGGCTATAGGAGGGAAAAATCGATGCGGGAAGACGGGGCGTCGCTACGAAATTGTAGCAGCTTCTCTCGCCACGACGGCGCCGCGTTGTTCATTCGGGGCGTGCGCTAGCCTAGTTAGCTGTACCCGTTTCTCGCCGATTATCGCCCGCGCTGATACGGGCCTAGAGAGACCTTCGATCGCCGTTGGAACTAGTCAACTCGCGACGGACGGACGGATGGACGAAGCGAGCGGAAACGCGATAAGGCTACGGTGTGCGTCCGGCACTTGTCGACAGATACGGCAGCAATGGTTGAAACGGAAAATCGGGCGGCATGCAACGGCCAGCCCGGTGTCGTCTTACGCCGCGGCCTCGCAATAATAGCCCGCGCTTTATTTTCACCGGCGCCACTTTCGACTCGACGTGCATCTTCGAGGCTGACGCTCGGCATTAATTATTGCGCCGTCGCGAGACGCTTAATTGGCGCTTCGTTTACGCGCCAATTTCTCGGCCGCTTATTCTGGTGCCTCGAGGCTTATATTATTATCGGTGCACGGCGTGTCTTCCGTTGGCTCGACAACGCGCCGCGGAGCAATAGGCACGCGGCTATGCACGCTCGCTCCGGAGGGTTGTCGACCTCGATTCGCCGTAGCCCTCCCTCGCTGTTTCGCGTCGCATCGCCGGAGCGCGCACCGATCGATCGCCGAACCGCGAGTCCGAGTTTCGTCGCGCCAGGCGCGTTGCCCGCGCGGACCGACGCCAGCCTCCACGGCGCGGCGACTCGGCACTGCGTCTTTATTTAGGCGGCTGCATAGGCGGCGCGCAGTCCGAGATAATGGGCGGCAGGTGTGCGCAGGTGTAATTGTCGTCGAGGAGCGCGTCCGTGACGTCGCTCGATCTATGCCGTCGATACAATGACACGTAAATATAGGCCGCTGGCTGGCTGGCTGACTTACGTAAGAGACCTGTCTGCCTTTGCGTTTTTCCAAGATCCCGAGGTTGATCGCTGCTTCGCCGCCTGGATATGCCGACGTAACGATCGCGTAGCGCCTAGCTCGATTAGAATTTCCAACGCGCGGAACGAAAGGTAGGCGTTGACGGGCGATAAGCCGCTTTCCACGAAAAATCCGCCGGGATAGCGCGAAACCGGCCGCGAACGCGCCACGTTCGGCCGATTCTCAATGGGGAAAACTAGGTCGCGCGCGGCGAGTCGAAAAATCAGCGGCGCGCATAGGGGAGAGCCGAGGGGGGCTCGTGGGCACCTGTGCACCTGTGCGTTAGCGGCTTTCCCTCGCGTCAAGGTGCAGCGGGCACGTGGCCTCGGCTTAGCGCCTTTGCCCGAAAATAACGAAACCCGAGCGCGCGCTCTTCCGTCACGCGAGCGCTGCGTGGCAGAAATCCTTGGCGCAGCGTAGCGCTCGGTCGCGCCGCGCGCCGCACGCCGCACGTTTTTCCTTTCGCTTCGCCAACGCCACCGAGTCCCGTCCGACTCCAACGGGTAACCGCGCTCGCTCGATCGAACTTGCCGCGACAAGACAACGACAAGAGAGTCTCTTTGATGTCCAGGGTCACCTGGCTCGCGCGTAAAAATAGCGCGGAGAGGAGAGCGGCTCAGGCTCGAGAGACTCACGGGGAAGAATGCACAGTCCACGAGCGGGGGTCTAGAGCGCCCCGTAACGCGTGCCCTCGCTCGAGCCGAGAGCGCGTTGTTGCTTCGGCCTATTTTAACCCCCTTGGGGCGCCACGTGCCGGTTGCCGCTGCGAGATAGCATCGATCGACGCGGCGCGCCACGCGGAAAGGCCAAATTTGATCGTCGTCGGCGCCAGCTGTCCCCGAACGTTCGATCTGCAATTTTCCCTCTTCCACGTGCCAACGCAACTTTGGTTTTGTCATCGTTTCGTGTTCCCCGAATCCGCGTCACTGCGTTTGAAAAGCCGTTTACTCAACTTGCAATGAAATTATGGGATTCCTTACCGCGCGTTATTCAAATTAAACCTTCCCTTGAATCGTTCGAACTACTACTCGATGGCACATGCGACTGTAGTGGAGAGTAGCAGATCACGTGTTATTTGCCTACGATTTTATTGCTAAATTACTGAAAAATTATTCACACTGCAATATTTTTCGGTACACTAAGCCTTAAGTATGTTATGGTACAGAGCGAGCGATTTTATTATTTTTTTGCAATACCAAAATACTTATCCTTTAGATTGTAATACTGAATTTGTTGGCAAATTGCATTACGTTACATTCGGCCTGCGTTTTCTTAATATTTTTTGCTGTGTTCTTGTGTGATCCAAAATATATATATTGCCGTATAACTAATGCAATTCAGTCCAACTGGGCTTTTTAACACAAATAAATAAAGATTTTGATCAATCCGTCTCGAGTGCCGCCCTTGCTGCACGCTGGAAGTCCGAATCAACTGTTGAGATACGACAAAGAAATAGTCGGCGACGTTTGCGATCGGCACTATCCCAGCGAGCTCGAAAATTCGTTTGCCGTTCGCTCTGGTCGGCCACGATCTTTTATCCTCGCTGTCGCGAGCAAATACCCAACGGGCAACATCAACGCGAAAATCCTCGAGTTGTCCTAGTCTGCATTCCCTGCGTACGAGTTGGTCAATTAACCACGGAACCTGTTTTCTTTTGTTACAGTCTCGGAAAACAGCAGCAGTAACAACAACAACAACAACAACAACATGTCAGCCACGTCAGTGCAGACAACCACCGAGAATCTCTCTCGTCACGGGTGAGTCCGCTTTGGTCGTGCGGAAGAGGAATCGCGTCAAGCAGGCAAAGTCCGCGGAGACAAGGCGCCGCGCGCTCGATCGCGCGGGCGTTACTCGCGAGAGATCGTCTCGCCTCTGCGACGAGACGCCGCCCACCGCTGGCTCGTCGCGCGCGCCCTTAACCTTGGCGTGTTTCGCGGAGCCGCGCGAGTGCTCGTCTTCCCGACGCAGTCCGTCGATCGATCGAGGCTCCTCGCGGCACGTGTCGTTTATACGGCGCGAACAAAAGGAGCCGAGGGCCAGCGAGAGCGGCAGCTCGCGCGCCTTTCGGAAATGCCCGGCTCGCGAGAATAGACCTCGAGTCTATTTCCGAGGCGGCGCGATAGGCATCGCGAGCTCGCGCGCATAATGCCGCGTGTATAAGGACGCCCCGACGGTCAGGTTCAAGAGCGGCGCCTCGCCGCCGAATGTGATACTCGCGAGAGCTCCAGTGCCTCGGTGAACGTTCGAACCCCGTTGCTCGGGGCTGCTCTCTCGTCGAGCCGAGGTTCGCTTTTCGAGCGTCCCACGACGTCGTCTTTGCGCGCGAAACCGAGTCGAGAGCTAATCTAATCGACACGAGCATTCGGCGTTAAACAAACATCTCCGCCTCTCTCTCTCTCTCTCTCTTTTTCTTTTGTGAATGCAAACAATCGCGTCTAACGTTCTCGTGCCCTCCTGGATTACCGCGACGTCAAGGCAAAAAGTACATACATTCGACGGCGATTTTTTTATCCCCGTTCGCGCGACGACAAGTGCTCCGATGAGAAACGTCCGTTTCGCGATTTCACGCAAGACTTTCGCATTTCCGACCAAATCCTCGCTGAGGCGCAATTCAGCATTTTTTTTTTCTTTCTCACCTTTTACGTAATCGCATGCGCGATTTTTGCGCTCTTTTCGTTTTACATAAGTCTCTTAAACAATGTACTGATTCGCGCGCGTGCAGAGAGAGAGAGAGAGATAGAGACTTACGCTCGTTGCGTAATTAAACGTCTGCGGTCAGAAAAAAATTTTTTTTTTTAATGAATTTACCAGACGTCGATCGCCATCAAATTGATCGTCTTACCTTTCGCGGACATTCGAACGAATGTCGCGGTTGACGTCGCGTTCATTTCGCGAAAGTACCGCGACACGTAACGGCGAGACGAATGGCAATATTTGGAAACGCGAAGAGTCTCTGACGATCCGACTGTTTCGCTTTGCAGGAGCAACATCTCGCTGTCGTGCCACAGCCTGTGCAGCAGCGTCGACGACTCGTCGGCGACTGGCTCCCATCCTCAGTACCAGGACACCATCCTGACGATCGAGGAGCTTCGCGCCCAGCTCAACTCTTGCTTCACGTGAGTATGGCTCAACGCCGAGAATACCGTTGCGCTCGATAGTCGGTATCGTCGCTTACCGCGTGCACGCTCGCGGCGCGTGCCAGAGCACATGACGCGGCGACTGCTGGCGCGACGCTGCGTTCGACCAGATCCGGCGCGATCCGGTATAGCCATCCTTCGCAGCGAACGACGCGTCTAATCGCCCGACCGCTTCTTTGTCACTTGCAGATGCGGAGTCTCGTGGAGCGAGGAGCACGTGTCGCTTGACTGCAGCGAGTGCGGTGGCTATTCCCTGGAGAGACCATGCCCACTCTGCGACGGTCGATGCCACACCACATGGAAGCGCGACCTGACGATGGTGAGTTCCCTACTTCTCTTGCCGGTAATTAGGGCTAAAGGGCTTTTTCGAAAATTGGCTGTCGGGAAGAGGGCTGATGCTCGCTCTCTCTCTCTCTCTCTCTCTCATTCGTTCTAGCGACGTCGCGAGCACGCTGGCGAATCGAATTTTCACGTTGCTGGCCTAGATATGCCTTGTCGCGAAAGATAGCGAGAAAAAGAGAATGGGAAAAAGTACGCTCCGCGACACTTCGGCTTGTGGCAATTCCATTTCAATGTATTTCGCAACACGCTGAATCTGAGTTTCAAATAAAAAACTAAAATTAAGCTGTGTAGCTTTGAGGATGCTTTGCCATCGTAACAACTTCTATACTTAGAGACCGTAGACTCGCCAACTAATAAAAGAAGCGCGCTCGTAAAAAAAAAGCCACGTTGCGCCATTCAAAGATGAATAGGCCGTGCTCTCGTAAAAGCTGCGCATTCCTCGGCGTAATTGCACGTCCTTCCTTTGCGAGCATTGAAAAAAGAGCCTCGCTGCACGTTCCATAAACCTAAAAAGTCGGAAGAAAAATGCACCATACTAACGGCGAACGTCTCATTTCAATTTCAGTCGCACGCGAGTGGCAAGGCCAGATGGAACGGCGAGTGCGGTCTGAGTTGCGGACCCACGCTCGAGGAGTCTCTGGTGCCAGCGTTGGAAAAATTGCGCGCGACCTCGTGAGCCGAGGAGTCGAGCGGCAGCAGCAGCGACACCGTGCACAAGACTTAATAGCATCTCGCCAAGCCATCTCTTAGATTATACATATATCCCCTCCCTGTATATCTATAGCGTCGCAATTATCTCATGCACATACGCCAACGCGATCACACACCGCCAGCGAGCATATGTACGTCCATCCCATCCATCGTCATCTATCTGTGTCTGCGAGTACGAATGATATGCGATTATACGAGTGCAACACGTCGTAGTGTGCACCGTCTTGCCGACGATTGCTGTCTCTGTGCGACGTTCCTCTTTTCCGTATAACAACACCTCACGCTGCTTCGTTGCCTTTCTTTAATTTTCCAATAGTTTTGATTTCTGACGTCGCCTATCACACATGTATACACGCGCGCAGTGTATGGGTTGTAATACATAGTTTCCGGCGATGACAAGCTGTTGCTGTGTATAGGCTAATTATAATACAAATTGCGCGACTCAAACATACACGCACTCACACGTAGATGAATCGGCGTGAACTCCCTTGTTCGATAGATTCGTTTTTCTTATTGTTTTCTTTTTCTTTCGGTTGTTTAACGCATATATAAATCACAGATTATCACTGATTTTAAGCTATAACATTGTTTTATGATTTTATCAACAAGGATTACTAAAATTTCCAATAATACTGTATCATAGCAGTATCTAAGCCACAATAACTGATATCATCCTTATTAAACGCAGGTTTATTCAGGAGATCAATTTCTGTATTTAAAACAAGTTTCCCTATTGTAACCTTTACTGTTACATAAGGTATTCATGGAATCTTTTGAAATTTCTCGTTCATCTTTTCACGCGAAGATGTGTTTTCATGGTCACTACCCTCTACTGGCATCATGTCTGTTAATTTCAAGACTTATTCCTCGCTAATTAATTTTCACTATTTTTAATTTCTATATTAGACTTCCTTCTTTATTTCTTTGTCTCTTATTTTTACCTTTAATACTTAACCAACTAGGACGTTTCAGAATTGTTTTATCTTCACCACTATTATTAGTATCCAATAAATAAGGTTCTACAGCTTTAGAAACTAGTTTTCCTAAGGTGCCTCTTTTGCGCTTTTTCCGGTTTTTTGGATCTAGTTTTAGAAACTGATCTTAAGTTGCTTGAAAATTCGCATATATAAATACATACGTGTGTAGCCGCGCGCCTTCTGCTTTCGAGTTGTGCAATTTATTCATGACTTTGAAGGTCGTGGGTATATATGTAATATACGATAGACGGGATTCGCTGGCACAAAGCCGTTATTAGTCTTTTCGTTTTCAACGTAACTCCGATGGTTTTTTAATTCTAACTCAAATTGAGTGAATATACATAAAAAAACGTGCATAGAGGTAAATATTTGCTTGGCTTTCTTTCGCGAAGAAAGCTACTCATGAGACTGTGTTTTCATCTCCGAGTCCTAGTTAAACAGACGCGTTGATTCATTTATTTCGTCCAATATATACTAACGTCGCCAGCTATTATACCGGAACAACAACATGAAAGTTTCATTAAACGGTAGCATAGGATTATAGTAATCGACGAGCGCGAGACATGTTTTTGGAAGGGACAAAGCTCGTTTGTATGTTATATGAATATTAGGCTAATTGAAACTAATAAGACTATGTGCATGGTCCGATTGAGGTCTTACTTTTCCGACGATGTTAAATGCAATACTGTAATATTTTTATCGAACATCCTTTTCATCTATTCAAAGTTTTCCATTTTCGCTAGATTTATTTGATCCTTCAAAGTATATACATGTATATTTTGTAAGTAGAATTGAATATTGTAAAAAAAAGAATGAAATATTTATTTTTGTTGCATAAAGTTTGACTGTTGGATTGTGATGACCTCTCGGACTATCAGAGAGAACTGTGAAAAAATCAATAATGAAATAGTAACACTGTCGGCTTAAATGTTTATATAGCTCATCAAAAATAACAACCAAAAAACGACTTAAAAAGGAAAAGCATTTATGTCATCGCGAATCAGAGCGTTTGACTTCAACGTGCACAATATTTCTGATATATAAAAGTATATAAGTTATCTCCATGGCATTAACTACGTTGTTTCAGACTACGGAAAGAGCGTTTATTACCATATCACTATTTTTTTTTCTATCATCGATCGTTCATCATTAGGTTTAAATAAAATTAATTGTAAAACTTTTCTGAAGTATTAGCTCTCGAATCGAGTTCTAATTTGATGCTTAAGAAAAATATCTCTTCTAATGTAATTTATATTTAATCTTGTAAAGTTTTTATTTATAACCGTATACCGTTGAAAATTGGGCTCAATAAACGATACTTGTCTATAGTAATACTGTGTATTACATAAAAATCCTTTCTCTCCCTTATATAACTTATATTAGCGCATTTTGAAGACTGAATAATAAATATTTATATTAGATTAGACTAAAATAATAATATAAACATTTTAATAATCAATAAATGAAACGCTGTTCTTGAATTGAAAGGTGTAATAATGTGTTTATTAACAACTATCTTAATCACATACACACATACACCATACATATCATTCTGTCCATGTAATCGAAAGTTTTTCCAAAGAAAATATTACAAATGAAAACTAAGTTCAATTTGTGCCGCAGTTCAAGCTTTATTTCGACAATCTGTATAAATGTCGTGACAAAATGTGTATTGTTAACTTTCTGTTTCATTCTCAAAGCATCGACAAAAAGCCTGTTAGATAATTCTATAATGATAATACAGATGAAAAAAGAAAATAGTCCCAGTTTAAAAATTAAGGGCGCTTATGACTTGTTTCCCTGTACTACAGATGGAAAGAAAAAAATCGTCGAAATACTGGTAAACGTTTGAACTTAACCGTTGTTGGTTTAATACTCATTACAATAATTTATTCGACATAACTTCATTTAATATGATTATTGGGTTAATGGTGAAAGAAATCGATATTAAATAAAAACCGCAACTTCGATTAGCAATGATGGACAATCGTAAATCGTAAACTCTCGTTCATTACAGTTCTCATGTCTACCTTTATGTCTGAGAAAAATTCTTCGTTTTCACCGAAAATCATTTTATTTACATAAAGTTAAACAAATTAACGAATTCTCCAGTTATATTAAGTTTAATTCATGCAATACTAGCATTATTATAATTTTTAAGATGTCATTAAGTATAAAGCCGCGTTACACTTTATGTATCTTTTTTAGTAAACCTTCAAGGAAAACAAATTCAGTTTGTTACAAATTATGAAAGTTATCCATTTCATTGTTATTTTTTAGGTTCAAGTTAGACCTTGTTTATTATTATTCCCTTAAAAGGCTTACGTGCATTTTCGTAATGCGCAATTATAATTATCAGTTCTAAGGCTAGAATTCACTTTTGTTTTAAAGAAATAGCTCAAAGATTAGCACCTTGAGCGTTATAAGATTTGTTGATAAGAATTTATTTTAGAGTACATTTCTAAGCACCGGGTATCAAAAAACGTTTTTTTTTGTTTTGTTACTCTTGTGAGGGAATAAAGGGTAACTGGTAGAAAATATTTGTTGAGAGGAGTGAATATTCGTAATGATTAACGAATCATTTAGTTCGCTTTTTAACGAGTTCTTCTTCGTTATTTACAACTGGACGTTCCGTGCAATTTTTGCAAGACTTATTATCATAATTCCCTCGAAATTATCTAATCAAATTACCGGGTACAGAAGATAAAGACTACGTACAAGCTTTTTGGGTAATTTGTTTAGTAAGAACGAATTGCCGGTGGTACGGTAGTACATTCCTTGTCGTCAAGTGTACGGTCGATGACTGGTCTGTAGTGGATTTTGACCTACACACGAGACAAAAGTTGAGACATTTGAAAGATAATTTGATTTAATAAAACTTACTTCACCAGTTTGAGGGTTGATGTTGGTGAGTGTGTGTTTTCGCCAGTGCTGATCGATAGGTTTCGGTGTTTGTCCTTCGATCGGCTTGCTGTAATCATATTCGTCGATTCTCTGTTTGAAGTCTTCCCGTGCATGAGCACCGCGACTCTCTTTGCGGTTTTCAGCAGCGAACATTGTCTGCATCGCATTCAACATCAGATTCTGCAGCTCGAGCGTTTCGACCAAATCAGAATTCCAGATCATTGACCTATCAGTAACCTTAAGATCATCCAATTTCTTGTAAATAGCCGACATTTTCCGGCATCCTATGTAAGAGCGTACGCATAATGAATTGCTGGAAGAATTATTCATAAAAAAATGAAAGACATGAAAATAAGCGTTACCCTCTTGTAAAGAGTCAGCCTGTCTGAAGACCGCAGCGTGATTCTGCATAATCTTTTGCATGTTGAGCCTTAGTTCAGCAGTGGAGATATTCCCGTTGGCATACCTAACTTTGTCGAGGTTCGCGACCGATTCCTCTCCAGCGTTCTACGAGAAGAATTGGATTGGAAAGGACGTCGATTGGAAAGACAGATAGTCGCAAGCGCTTAAAGGAGCTTACAGGACGAAGCGGCCCAATCTTTTCACCGGGTTTGTTCTCTTCCGCGACTGTTTTCGCGCAAGCTCGTCCAAACACAACCAAGTCGAGCAGCGAGTTAGCGCCCAGGCGATTAGCCCCGTGCACCGAGGCGCAAGCTGCCTCGCCGCAGGCGTACAGGCCAGGGACTACGGCGTCCTCGTTGTTCTTTCTCGTGAGAACTTGTCCTCTGTAATTGGTAGGTACTCCGCCTGGGCGCACGCAAAGGCAACGTCAATTATCCGCGCGACCACTGCGTGCGAACGAGTGCTCACCCATGTTGTAATGCACCGTCGGCAAGACGGGAATAGGCTCGCGAGTGACATCGACTCCAGCGAAAATCATAGCCGTCTCGGAGATGCCCGGCAGCCTGGTGGCTAATTGCTCGGGTGGCAGATGGTGCAGCTGCAAGAAGATGTGATCCTTCTCGGGGCCGACTCCTCTGCCGACGGAGTTGACGATTATTCGAGTGTCGGCTACGAACGCGAAGCTCGCGACTGCTCACCTGCCCTCGCGGATCTCGATGGTCATCGACCTCGAGACGACGTCCCGCGACGCGAGATCTTTGGCGACCGGAGCGTAGCGCTCCATGAATCTCTCGCCTTCGCTGTTGACCAGGTAACCACCCTCGCCGCGGCAGCCCTCGGTGATCAAGCAGCCAGCACCGTAGATACCTGCGAGACGAGACGTAGTCTGACGCACCTCGTCACTGCTAGAAGCCGAGAGCAGCTCGCGACGTCCACTCACCGGTCGGATGGAACTGCACGAACTCGAGGTCCTCGTTCGGCAGGCCCGCCCGCGACACCATGGCCGTGCCGTCGCCGGTACAGGTGTGCGCGGACGTGCAGGAGAAAAAGGCGCGGCCGTAGCCGCCGGTCGCCAGAACGGTGTTCTTCGCGTGGAAACGATGCAGCGTGCCGTCCTCGAGGCACAGGGCCATCACGCCACGGCACTCGCCGTCCTCCATCAGCAGATCCAGCGCGAAGTACTCCACGAAGTAGTTGCAGTCGTAGCTCAGCGACGTGCCGTAGAGCGTGTGCAGCAGCGAGTGGCCCGTTCGGTCGGCAACGCAGCAGCACCGGTGAGCCTGGCCCCCCTTGCCGAACTTGAGCGACTGCCCGCCGAACGCTCGCTGGTAGATTTTCCCTGCGATCGGAATTCGTTCGAGGACATTACGCTCGCGCCAAATCCGCGGAACGGAATGTCCCTTTCGACATCGTGGAAGTCCACTTGCCGATCGGAAATCCAGCCAACTTCACTGCCAGCAAAAACAGACGAACCGGCGCTTGACAACTGATCGGCCGTTTGTTTACGCGCGCAGCCGTTTTTTTTCCAAATTCCGCATCCGAAATTTCCGCGTCTCCCAAAAATCCGACGTAAAAAAAAAGAAAATTGTCGCGTGACTTAGCGTGCGTGCGCGCTCAGCGAACCGCTCCTATTGACAATCCCAAGGTTTCACTTTGTTTCTTCGTACATCTACAAAAGCAAAGCAACATGGACACAGACGACTTGCGGGAAAGTGACGACGAGGAAGAGCTTGTCGACCAGAACGAGCACGACAAAAAAGTCGAAGACCCGGTAGACAAGACGAAAAAAGAGACGGAGTCCAATAGCGTCGAGAATCGCCCAGAAAATCAAGCCAGTACAAGTCGCAAGTCGTTAAAACGGAGCCGGTAAATATATGCGTCAGATTATCCTCATTTGCATGTCGAATCGCACGATCAATGAGTGAATACTTATAGTTAGTCTCCAAGTTAATCATTTTTCTGCTTAGAATGAAATTCATTTCTTAAAATTAATTATTGCTTCCATGAAATATACTCGTTGAGTAATGTACAGTAGTTGAGATTCAATATTTTCAGTTGATACTATTAGGATAAAATGACAAATGCAATTCTTTTAAAATCCTTAGAACTAAATCCAGAGTAGAAACTCCAAATAGCAGGGTCAACACTCCAAATTCTGCACTACCAAAGCGTACTTGGAGGAGCGCAAATGCATTCATTAACTTTGTACAGGATTTTAAAAAGGTAGCCAAAGACATATTCCAATAAAGCTTTGGAAAGTTTCTTATAAAGAATAAAACCAATTGAATGCTTTAGGACTATCCGGATATGGTAATGGGTCGTAACGTCTTTCAAATATGCAGTGAACGATGGAAAAATATGTCAGAAGAACAAAAGCAACCGTACATTGTTGCTGCAAACATAGTGAAGAGGCTGAAACAGCGAAAAATCAGTGACAACGGTGACCAGCAAGTTAAGAAATCTATCACCCGTGTTTCTAAGCGAAAGGCTGAGACCAAGCGAAAAGAAACAATTCAAAAGAGCTCCAAGGTTCTCATTTCGTTACTAATACTTGCCTTTATACTGTTTAAAAGTCGATAAAGTCACATTTTTATCAGGTAAACATATGTTTTGATCATTCTTTCTTTTTTTTTTATGTAAGGTAAATAATCCAGATGCTAAGAGCACTAAGGATACAGATACCACAACAAACATCTAACATTCATCCATGAATGATGCTGACTTATCTTAATAAATATACTTTTTCAAAGTCTGTGTTAAATATTTTTTAATTATATGAATTTTCATTTGACAGTCCATGAGCAATAAGAGCATCAAATGCAAATTAACTCAATGCACATTATTATTTTTCCTTCCAAGTCTACATCTATTTTTGTATTGTCTCACTGACTTCATTGCTGCTTACTACTCAGTAATTCAATCTCATATCGTAATCAAGAGTAGCGCTTGTGAATGTTTTGATTGACTCACCATCATTGGTACGACTGAAAGGCATGCCGCAATTTTCTAATTCAATGACAGCTTTTGGGGCCTCCCTCGTCATGTAGTGAATGGCATCTTGATCTCCGAGCCAATCAGAGCCTTTGACGGTGTCATACATGTGCCACTGCCATTGGTCTTCCTCCATATTTCCAAGAGCAGCATTGATACCTCCTTGAGCGGCAACAGTATGTGATCTTGTTGGGAATAATTTTGTAACCACAGCTGTTTTGAAACCTTCCTCAACAAGTCCATATGCTGCTCTAAGACCAGCACCACCAGCACCAACAACCACAGCATCAAAGGTATGATCAACTAAAGGATAATTTTTAGAAGGTCCATCTTTCGTTGTGGCAAAGTTGCTATTTGGAGTGTAATGCAAAGCACGCTGGGAGACCAGTGGCACACCAAGTTTATTCTGCAAAAAATATATTAAGAGCATGATTCATTCATTTGTTGTTTTTCTTGTATTTATTGAGCCTCCACGTGATTAGAACAACATAAAAAAAAGATCTGTACTATATTACTTTTTAATACCATAATAGTTTCCTCCAATTGAATCAAAATTAAGACTTTATAACAATGAGCTATCCTTAAATTGAATATTATCTATGATTTGAAAGGGGGGATAAATCAACTGTCTCAGCTAATTAGGCATTGGAAGATTAATTCTTATCAGAAGCTATGCTTGTATTACATATGATCATATTAGTATTTGTATAGGACTGTGTACATGTGAATAGAATATTCACAGTAATTGTAAAATAAGGCAAGATATTACACTAATATGTTACATAAAATTTAGTGACTTATCAATTATCTCAATTCTTTTGATTGATGTTGAAATAAATCTGTAGTTCAAAATTTTCCTCAATCATAAGCATTATTATAGCTGGCTAAAATTGCAAATTAAAAATGCTCATCAATGCTCTAGCATTGTTATCAAAAAATAAAATTATTCCAAAGACTTTCATAACAATGCACAAAATAAAACATATGACTTTATTTTGAAATTTTATATGCTAATTTGGCTATCTATAACTATCATGAATACAACACCTCTAATTAATAAATAATAAAAATATTGTATGTAATTGTTATCAGAAACATAAAAATACTTTGATATTGTACATTGTACTAAAAACATTATACAAACATGTGATAGATGTTATGTAAACTTCTCTGAGCTACTGTAGCATATGATTAGGATTTTCCATTCATTAAACAAACTGGTTACAAGATGTAATGCTTGATATGCAAGTTCAAAGTCTTCTTGATTGTATCTACTTCTGAGCAGTCAACTGATTGATAGGAAAACTAAGTTATGCCATGAAAGTGGTAAACAATCTGAGAACAAGCTAAGAAAATCCACTCATCACGAATACGTGAAAAAGCTAAAGAAATTATCAGACGCTTTTGGATCTTTACATAATTTTTACGTGATAATGTTTAAAGACATTTAAACAATGCATAGGTATAAGTATGTGTTACTACCACACAATGTAACGCAACACATTTCGGTGTATTACACGAATGTCAAGAGAGTCAAAAAAAGGCAGGGACTGCGAGGAAACTCTTATGTAACTTTGCAAGATCCCCAAAGAATGGAAAGCTAACGAAAAAGCTGGACATTCAGTCCAGTGTTGCAATAAAAAGACAAATAAATAAATAATAGAGCAACACGATACGAGGTGTTATATAACGGCAACTACGGCATCCTTACCAATGTAACCGAAGGCGTTAAGCCCTTGGCCAGGATAGTGGACAACCTCAACATTCCATTCATCTTGTGACTTTAGCAGCCCTCCAAATCGAATTTTTATCTGATAAACCTGGCACTGTATTTTCGTCGACTTAACCCCGGTGCAAAAGGCAGGCCAACGCACTCACTCTTGCTCCGCACCTCGCGCACTTCTCGCACGGCAACGTGACGTGAGTTGAGTTAGCGGGAAGACGTTCTACCTACAGTGCTGTCGTTATTGGCGAAGTTTTATTTACGCGACACGGCTCGCCGGAGACTTGCAGGCCGCTTTGTATTTCGCATATAACAGCCGCTCCGCCGACACGTATACGCACGAGACCCGCCAAGGTATATATATATATGTTATTCGTATGGCCGCATATCGCGTGTGCTGCGCGCCGCACGATATTCGGCATTCGCGAGGAACGAAGTGCGATGGAGACGGAGAAGACGGACGTAGAAAGAGACAGATGCACGAAAAAGCGCGCAATACTGCCAACGATAGTCTGCTCCCTCGCACTCTCGCAGGCCCGCCGAGTTGCTTTTATAACCGTTGCATTCTAGATTTCATTCGCGAGGCAACGGAACGTTTGGATATATACGGTTTGTTCGACAGTAGGTCGCTGCGTCGAGTTGTGGGTGTACCTCGATTGTTTTGGGTTTCTACACTTCGAGAAGTTTCGGAGCAGTACATAATGGAGTCAGTACTGAAGCTTTTGGCGGGAATTTCGAAATCATATTTTTTTTAATATCTCAACGTAAAACATTCTGCGCTTGCGATATCGTTTCCAATAATTGTGAGTCTATCGAAAATTGTAGCTAAAAGTCAATGGTTATTTTCATATTATTTTTGAAAACATGCACAAGCTCGCACCCCGTTCTCAATCAAGTCACGCAGCTTCCATAAATTATTATAATTGGATTAGTAAGCGATGCAACTGTTTTGCCGCGCTCGAGCAAAAAGGCAATGGCAAAAAAGAAAAGAAAAATGAAATGTTGGTCTGGTCGTTGGGAGAAGCGTGTCGCGCCTAGTCGAGCCGCATTGGCGTTCGAGTCTTTTTTCCCGCAGCGGCGTCACTGAAATTGAGCGTCAACGAAGCAACGCGATAAAAGTTCGCGTCTGCCCATCGCGCTGCCCGAACGAGATTACCACATCATTCAGCAGTAGGAGCTTAACGGAATTTTTACCGTTTCGCGTTGGATATATTACAGTATCACAGGTATTTCTAGTGTTCTACGTTGAATATATATTACAGAGTCATATTTCATTTTATCCGTGACTCTTTTCAGCCGACGCTGGTACGTCTTGATATTCGCAAACGGGTTTCCTACTTTGTTACAACTCATTTTGCACCAAGTGCAGATGTTGGTAAAGCTTCCTTCAGAAATATTTCCTAATAGTCTAATAAATCGGAGTCAAATAATCATCGCGGATATTTTTTAATCTTTTAAAATTACATAGTCATAAGGCATTGTTCCTCGTTTAATATACGGCTGGCCTGATAATCCATCAAATTAAACGCAATGTAAATAAGCCTGAATGGAAAACGAGGTTAAATAGCGAGTGTCAGCCTTCTTGATGCGATGTCAATTCAATAGGGCCCCTCTACGTTCGAAGTGTTATCGAGTTTGCGCGGTGCTTGATTGACGCACACAAATTCATTCGGATCTTGCTCTCTCGTCTTGTTGACTGCCGACAGCGATGGCATTTGCAATTTTGGCTCGATTATGTTGCAGATGTGCTATTTACGTTTTACACGTGCGTATTAATAACTTTTTCATTCGAATCGTTCACCAGGGAAGTATCCCGTATTCAAAACTTCAACGCTCGTCAAGTTGTTAAAATTATGTTTATTGGAAACTTTCAAAACAGATGATCATAGGCATCTCATTATAATGTCGTATGATTAAACTTCATAACTTTTCACTCTGATTTGATAACAATAACATTAAAAAACCACAGGTATCGCCTCAGCTTCCTGTTCATATTCGTCTCGCAGTCGACTGAAGAAATGCGCTAGTTTATATGGGCATATCGCGTTTGTCGACGTAATTTTCGCTCGTTTATCTGCGTCGGTAGAGGCTAGATGAACAAGTCCGGTAACGTTTGAATTGCGCTCGAAGTGCACGACGGTAGCTGCTTTACAATCGCACGCCAACGGATCGTTCTCCAAGTCCAACCACTTGAAATTTGATACATTTTTTATCGCGTCCAGTTAAGTTTTGTCGATGCGCGAAATTCGGTTGTCTCTCGGAAGTAGAACCTGAAATGATTCGAACGTCGCGTATGACTGCTTTCTAACGTGAGAAAGAAAAAAAACGGGTCTCTCACCTCCAACTTCGGGGATATGGAATCTTTGTCGACGTCTTTAATGCGCTTCCCAGTGAGATTTAGGCTCTGCACAAGAGCACGTATCTTTCGTTTGTCAAGTCCGGAACTCGTTGCAGTGTACTCTCGCAGAAATCCAATTTTGTACGTTTGTACAATTTCGGCGGCCTGGTCAGGCCTCTTGCCGAGCAATCGATACTCAACTCGGTTGTTTTTCGATCAAGCCAACATTCGCAAACGCCGAACAACGAGCAGAGATGAACTGCTATTTACTTGCCGTCCGTTATTACCCATCTGCTATTCTCGTTGCAGTGATAGAAATTGTAGCGAGCGATGCTCCGATACGGAGCCAGTACGAATGGCGTTAGAAGAGCGGCGATCATGACTAGTAGCTCGTACACGATTGCCGAACTGTTGCTGCAAACAAAGAAATCACGTATCCGTTCGTTAATAATCATTCAGTTTTGCATTTTTGATTGAACAGAAAACAAGTTTTTCTTTCCTATTTATCTTTTGTATCTAACATCCGAGCTATTTAAATTGCCAGACAATGGATAGATAAAATAAGAAATCGATAGAAGTACAGCTTACAGAAAGACGGAATTAAACGATCGTTGCTCCAAAGCATCGTTGGCTCTTCGGTGTCTTCGACTAAATCAAAGCCATGAAAAATCTGGAAATGACTTTTCCCCTCCCACGGACGCTACTTCCCTCTGTCTTCGTTCGCACGCTGCCTCGAGGGTGGCCCTCGTTATCTATTCACGATTAAAGCAGCACGGCTTCGATCCTTCGCTTCTGAGAATGTGAATTTGGCAAATGAATATCGTTAGAGCAACGAAAAATGTAGCGAGCGACAGTGCGCTTCCAAAGAAAATAAGTTTAGAGCGACTCGTTGCAGCGAGGAAGGAGCCAAGGTCACAAGATAACTCAACGATCGAGCGTTCATTTTTTTATTACTCAAACGAACCGATCTAATCTAATCCATCGAGGAGAGCCCGATGCTAATTATCGCGTAATAAAAAGTAACGCTAGACAAAAAAGAAAAGACAAAGCCAAAGACAAAGACAGCGTCGCCAGTCGGTCCATCTCCATTGAAGCTCTCGACGCAGCTCAGTAGGATCTGATTGCCGGCGGCACGTGCTGCGCCTCGGTGTCGTCGAGCGTCGTATCGATTACCGGCCGGTAGGATATGCAGATCTGCGAGATTGGAATCGGTGAACGGTCGAGTCGCGCGGAAAGCGCAAGCCGACGACGAGTGGAACGCGCGACTACCGAGCCGTCCTCCTGCGCCCAAGTGAGCGTGTGCTTGCGCCAGTGCTCGCTCAGCGCCCTCTTCTCTTGGCCGGCGATGGGCTTGGAGAAGTCGTACTCGTCTACGCGCACCTGGCCGGACGGGAGAGAAACGATTGGCGGGCAATCGCTCGGTGGCGTTGCCAGCGGCAGAGCTGTATTAATGACCTTGTAGTCATCCCTGGCGTGCGCGCCCCGCGACTCCTTGCGGTTTTCGGCGCCGTAGACGGTGTGCATGGCGCACAGCATGAGGTTCTGCAGCTCCAGGGCCTCGACCAGCTCGGTGTTCCAAACGAGCGACTGGTCCTGGACCTGAGGCGAGGAGCGGCGGTCAGGAGAGGGGCGCCGGGCGAACCGTCGCGCCGGTGGCGGCGGCGTACGCAAACTTCCGGCAGCTCGCAGGTGAACAGCTTGGTCATCTCCTTGCAGCCGCGCTGCAGCACGTCGCACGTCCGGAACACTCCGCAGTACTTTTGCATGGTGCGCTGCATCTTGCCGCGCAGCGCCGCCACGGGGATGCAGCCTTGGGCGTGGCGGGTCGCGTCGAAGCGGCATATCGCGTCCTCGCCGATGTCCTGGCCGAGCAGGCGGGGAGCATCGGTCGCGGCGGCAGTTCGCGCGAGGACGAGAGCAACGAAGGGGCTCACCCACCGAGGGCAGCTCGTCGAAGGCCTCGCCGGGCCGGCTGACGCAGGCGATGTTGTCGGCGATGGCCTTGCCGAACACGACGATCTCCAGCAGGCTGTTGGCGCCGAGGCGGTTGGCCCCGTGGACCGAGCTGCAGGCCGTCTCTCCGGCCGCCCAGAGCCCCTCCACCGGCACGTCCCGCTCGTGCTCCCTCGTCAGCACCTGCGCTCGGTAATTGGTGGCTATGCCGCCCATGTTGTAGTGCACCGTGGGTATGACGGGGATGGGCTGCCTCTCGGTGTCGACGCCCGCGAACACCCAGGCCAAGTGCGAGATGCCGGGCAGCTTGGAGCGGATCGTCTCGGCGGGCAAGTGGTGCAGCTGCAGGTACATGTGGTCCTTGTCCGGGCCCACCCCCCTACGGGCGCGACGAACGCGGAGCGTGAGCGAGGGGCGGCGGGGCGGCGGGACGGCGGGGCGGCGGAGCGGCGGGGTTATTGACCCACCTGCCCTCGTGTATCTCGACGGTGATGGCCCGCGAGACGACGTCCCTCGAGGCCAGGTCCTTGGCGTTGGGCGCGTACTTCTCCATGAAGAACTGGCCCTCGGAGTTGACGAGGCGGCCGCCCTCGCCGCGCGCGCCCTCCGACACCAGCACGCCCGCGCCGTAGATGCCTGCGGCGGAATGCGGAGGAAAGCGGAGGAAAGCGGAGGAAAGCGGGCCGCGCGTACCGGTCGGGTGGAACTGCACGAACTCCATGTCCTGCAGCGGCAGCCCGACCCGGCTCGCCATCGCCATGCCGTCGCCCGTGCAGGAGTGCGCGCCGGTGCACGACTGGTAGCAGCGCCCCACGCCGCCGGTCGCCACCACCTGCGAGCGAGCGCGCGCGTCGCTGAGGCCGGGCCGAGCGGGGCGGCGCTCGCGCGTACCGTGTGGTGCCCGCGGAACCGGTGCAGCAGCCCCGTCTCCAGCTCCCAGGCGAGCACGCCCTTGCAGCAGCGCCCGTGGAACAGCAGGTCCAGCGCCACGAACTCCACGAAGTAGTGCACGTCGTGGCGCAGACTCTGCCCGTAGAGCGTGTGCAGCACCGAGTGGCCCGTGCGGTCGGACACGGCGCAGGTGCGGTGGGCCTGGCCGCCCCTGCCGAAGCGCAGCGACTGCCCGCCGAAGGCGCGCTGGTAGATCTTGCCGTCGGCGGTGCGGCTGAACGGGCAGCCTGCGGCTCGGCCAGCGGGGCGCGTTAGACCGGTCGGTCGGCCGATGCGAAGCTGCTGGCCGCGGCGCCTCACCGAAGTTCTCCAGCTCGTAGACGGCCTTGGGCGCCTCCCTGGTCAGGAAGTGGATGGCGTCCTGGTCGCCCAGCCAGTCGGAGCCCTTGACCGTGTCGTACATGTGGTACAGCCAGCTGTCCTCCTCGATGTTGCCGATGGCCGCGTTGATGCCGCCCTGCGCGGCCACCGTGTGCGACCGCGTGGGGAACAGCTTGGTGATCACCGCCACGCGGAAGCCCTTGCTGCCCAGGCCGAAGGCCGCGCGCAGCCCCGCGCCGCCCGCGCCCACGATCACCACGTCGTAGCAGTGCTCCACCAGCGAGTACTTCTGGCGCTCGCGTCGCCGGCTCGGTTACGATCGACTCGGCACTGCCGCGCGCCGGCACCGCCACCCTTACCTGCCCCTCGTCCCCGCACTTCACCTTGTCCGTCGTGCTCGCGTTCACGTGCAGGCCGCCCTTGCTCGCTGCCCTCGCTCGCCTCGGCCAGCCCTTCCGAAGGTATCCGGCGCGTTAACAGCCTTCGAATGCGGCGACGAATCCGCGAGTCCACTTACGGTCAGTAAGCTGCTGGCGGATCTCAAAACTCTCAACATTTTGGCCCGTTCGTGCAACCGCGACGGCGAACCACGTATTTGCTTTTCTCCCAGCCGATAGAAGTATCCAACTAGGTTAGAAATGTGGGATCGGGTGTGGCGACTACCGTCAAAGTGACAAAAGAATAAACGCCTCGTCGGCTTTTTCGTATATAAATACAAGCATTGCTTTTTATTGCACTTGGAAAAATACATTTGTTCCATGAATCATTAAGATTGTATACGATTACACTTGACGACACTCGCTCGTGCCAGTCTTTACGTGGCACGTGCTGGCGCAGGCCCGTCGTACAGAAAAGGATTGGCTTACCTTCGCGGCGAGATGAATCTTAATGAATTCAAGACGGACGATTATCGTAAGCGAAGTAAACATTCATAAATAACAATGCATAAGTATAGGTACGTAATTGTAATAAATTTGCGGAGAAAACAGAAAGAATATCCAGATGGGTGCGATTACAAACTACACTTGATCGGTGCTCTCGGTTATTAAAATCTGCCCGTACAAGTCGATCAAACTCGTACCACAACGGCGATCTTGCGTGCGATCCATTCGATTACAGAACAAATTTCAACGTAGAGAAATGCATGGTCAAATGCGATTCGTCGTTCGATGATATGTTTTGCGTAATCCCCGTCGAGCTGCAGAGTCAGTCTCGTAAACATTGTTACGCGAACAAGATATCCAGAAAAAAGTTTATTCGAAAAAAATGTCCGTACAAATATTGTTATACACATATACGTCCTGTTTTACTATTACCTTCGATTACTACGGATCTATCGTGTGCGTTATGCGGTGAACACAATTAATAGCGTATTATAGTATACATTTTGGGAAAGGTGACTGAGTAAATCAATAGTCGGTTTACTCGACCGAACTGAATTAATTGACATGGACGCGGGGAGTTCGTTACGAAATAAAAGAGAGAGAGAGAGAGAGAGAGAGAAAAAAGAAGATTGTACTACGAGCTATACGTGAAAAAAAGTACGACGTTGACACTCGGAGGAAATTTTATCTTGCAACACGAGTTAGATATCGTCAACGAGACAGACGAGTTTAGATAAAGCTTATGATAAAATTGCACATGTACAGCACACCTATAAATGGCATATCTATGCGTTATACGACAATAAAAAGAGGGAAATGTAATCACACGGACGCGTCGTCTTTGTAAAAAATGCTCGCGTCGCGTGGAAACAAGACTCTCGTAAATGGATGATTAACTCGTGTTTATGTCGGTCCTTGCTTACAAGGTAGGGGGGGGGGGGGCGGAAAATCAAAACGCATTCGATTCCACTTTATTCGCGCTGAATTTCGCTCTTGCATCCACATCGCGCGATCGAAGTCTGAGAAAAACCGAAGAAAGCAGAAAAAAAAAAAAAAAAAAAACAGTCTTCCGACGTCTATTCTCGTTGATTTCCCGTCATCGAAGTCCAGGGACGACATTTGTCGCGATGGCCGGCAAGCAGCAGCTCCTGGAGTATCAGAGCGTGAGCCTGCGGACGCCGCACTCGCAGCAGAACTTGGCGCTGTCGGGGAACTTGAAGCCGCACTCGTGGCAGAACTTGGACATCTTGTATTTGCCGATCGGAGCGGCGCCGTTGCTCAGGTCGTTGGCGCTCCGCCCGTGGTTGGAATATTTGCGGTTTAGACTGCGCCGCGTGGACGGTGCAACGAGGGAAACAAACGAACACAGAGTCACGATACTCGATCAGCGAGTTGTCGGTTGCGGCCCCGCTGTCGCTGCCGGTGAATCGTCTCCTCGCCCAGGGGCCAAGAGGAAATTCACCGGGCCACGCATCGCCAGCGAGCGAAAAGAAAGAGGAAGAACAACAGTCACCTGCTGTAAGCCGAGTCGGCGCTGAGCTTGCCGCACTCCTGCCTCTTGGCGCTCTCGGGCGAGGAGAGCTCGGCGGCGTCGTCGTCGCTGCACTGGCTCCTGGCGTTGCTGGCCTGCCGATGGCCGTTCTGCTGCGGCGCGCTAGACAACAACGGGTCGTGGCGTATGAGTGAGACGAGCGACGGCAGGGTGGAGGTCGAGTTGGCGTCCTCCTCGAACGAGCTGAGTAGCTCGTCGAACAGCGACGCCGAGCGCTTCATCTCCAGCTCGCTCGACGATATGATCGAGTTGAGGCTGACGTGGCTGGCGTTGATCTGGTGCCGCGGGCGGTGCCTGCCGCCGCGTGCCAAGTCCGCGGCGCGCTCGGGCGGCCGCGGCGCCGAGGCGGCGCGGCCGGACCTGCAACCGAGGCTGTTCGCCGGCGGTCTCGTCGCGTCGCTCGACGGCGCGAACTCGCCGCCGCCGAGGGCTTGGTTCTGATCGATGATCAGGCGCCGGCCCAGCACGTGCTCGCCGTTCATCGCCAGCCTCGAGCTCGCGAGGGAATTGCAGTTGGACGAGGAGCTCAGCAGCTCGCGCGACAGCGAATTCGTCTCGGCGCAGTCGCTGGACAGGTCGGACGAGGTCAGATCGTCGAAAGCTGTGGGCGGAGCAATGACCGAAGCCCGCTGCTGCTGCTGCTGCTGCTGCTGCTGCTGCTGCTGCTGCTGCTGCTGCTGCTGCTGCTGCTGCTTGTTGTCTGTCGCGGCTGTTGGCACCGACGGCGACTGCTTGTGGGGCGCGCCGTCTGCGGCACCGGAGCCGTCGCTCGCGAATTTGGCGAAGGCGGAGCTGTGGGAGAGTGGAAAATTGGGGCTGGAATTGGCTTTCTGCGGGGGACAGATCGACGAGCCGTCGGTCGACGACTGGTCCGATGTGTCGGAGAACAGGTCGTTCATCTGCTGCTCGGCCAGAAGGTAGAACGGGTCGTAATGGTTGCCGCTGAAAGAATTGGTGCTCGGTTAATGAGTGGGCGCCGGTGCGAGGTGTCGCGCGTAAAGCACAGGGCGGGGGTGCGGGAGCGTGCGCGCGCAGCTGCAACGAGGACAGAGAGGAAATCGGCGTGCAGTGAGCCAAGTGCACGTGACGAGCGGCTCGAGCTATGTTGTGCGAGTCTAGGCGCGTCACGGAGGAGAACTTACGTCCGACGTTTGAGTATCGTCGAAAAGCTGGGATGCCGACGAATGCAGCTGTTGATATCGCAGCGTGGCAGCCGCTCGTAGCTCCTCAGCAGCTGGCTTTAAAGGCAAACACACGCGATTTTTCTCCTGTGTACTTATGCTTAAGTCGAAGGCTCGATCGCCTGCTCGCGCTCGGCTCGTACGCTCGTTACGGGCTCGAGTAGGCCGCTCAAGGGCCGCCGCTTCGCGGTCTGCCACGGTCTAACGAGCGATCAGCAAACTACCTTCGTCTCGCCGTCCTCGAGCGCGTTCTGCTCTTGGGGAACCTCTCGAGTCTCTCGAGTCTCTCGAGTCTCTCGTCCTCGTCGTCCTCCCTCGAAGTGTCGCGCTCCGCGATGTCTCTCAGCGGCTTCGATTTCGCCGGTCTCCCTCGGCGGTACTCCGTCCCTCGGCCGCCAACGATCGCAGGTAAGAAAGACACGTCGCGAGGGATCGAATCCAATCTTGTGCACGTGCGGACGTCCTTGTCGAATTGGGTGTTAGGCTTTTCAAAGCGTAGCTCGTTCGCGTTCAACGCTTCCGCGTTCCGCTCGTCGAAACTTTTGTTCGCTCTGCTCGGAGAGAACGAACGGCTCGGATGAGCGATAAGCGCGGTTTGCTTCCTTTCAGTTTATAATTTTGGAGGAGCACGGAGTCCGGCTAATCGACAAAAGCCCGCGGAAAAGTCTCACCTCGCGTTCCTACATCTCCTCGCGGCGCGATCGAGCCGCGACCTCGACTGTCGTGTCGATTCGGCGACGAGCGACTCTCGACTGTCCATCAGATTGGAGTTAGCCAGGCAGGCGTCGATTTCTTTGAGCAGCTCGGAGGCGTTGCTCTCGTTCTCGTCGGCGAAATCTTCCCAGTCGCCGTCGGTCATTTGCAAGTCTTCCGTTCTGACGCTCGACAGGTCGCTGAAGCTCGCGTTCCTGTAGTAGTCGTACAGCAGCTTGCTGTCGCGCGTCTCCGCGCCTTGGCCTTTGGGTCCGTCGTCTCTCGTGGGTCTGTCGACCACGTAAGTCGCGCAACGGCGCGTCGGGCAATCGATCCGCGGCAGTCGCAGCTGGTCGTCGTTCCTCGCCGTCGGCTCTGTCGTGCATCGTTCGAACGTGACTCGCTGCTTGCGCGCTCGAGAAGGAAAACGGACGATTACCATTCGCATCGTGTCGCTCCCAGCTGGGTCGCTCGACTTTCTGGTGCGGCACCGTCGGCGTGCACGGCCGCCTCATTTCGGCGATGTTCGGCAAGCTGAGATACTTTTTCGGCCGGCCGAGCAGCTTCTCTCTGAATCTATTGGTTGCGATCGTCGACTCGTCCTTCCCGCCCGCGCCGCCCGACTCGGCGTTCTCCCTCGTGCTCCCGGTTTGCGCGCGAACCCGCGGCGTTGGTATTTCGGCCGGCGAGCCCGGCCGATGGCTCGTCAGCTCGTGGACGCTCGCGGCCTCGCAGTCGCTGCGCTTGAACGTGCGGCTGGAGGCTACCGACGCGGCGGCGGTGGTGGCGTCATCGTCGTCATCGTCGTCGTCGTCGTCGTCGTCGTCGTCGTCGTCGTCGCCGTCGGATTCGCCGTTCGCGTTCGCGACCGTTCGACTGCCGGCGATGGCGTCGGCTCGGCCGTCGCTTGCCGCGGACGGACTGGCGAGCCCCGTGGCTCGGTCGACGGTGCAAGTTCCATCGGTCGCGGGATTGATCGCGCCAACGGCCCTTCCTCCGCTATCCGCGCTCGTTTCGTTTGCGCGCTCGCCGCCAACGACAAAGCACTCTTCTGTTTCGCGACGGCGCACCATTTTCTCGTTCGTTTCGAACTCGTCGGTGGTCGAGTTGGCTTCGTCGTGGCTGGTGGTCGACAAGCCGGTCCTATGCGAAAGAATCGGCTCCTCTATTTTATCGATAGCATCCGCGTTGCTCGGGCTGTTACGCACCTCCTCGCGAATCTGTCTCCACGTCACGTAATCTCGCCTCTGCCCCGCGATTTCGATCGTTTCGATGTTATCCGCGCTGTATTCCTCCTCGGCCCTGGCCTTTTTACTGCCGCGAGACCTGAATCTCGTTTTCTTTTTCAGTCTTTGCTTGAGACTTTCGACCCGCGGCACGAAGGGATCCTCCTCGGGTGAGTTCTTGAGTAGGAAATTCGTGACCAGCCTCGCGGACGACACTTGCGACGAGTTCGACGACAACGAGGCTTTCGGCTGAAGGATTTTCGCGGGAAGGACTTCGGATAGCAGGAGGAGCCGGCGCGAAGCGAACAGTTGCCTCGGGGCTGGCGGATTCAGGGATTCTTGGGAATCGGAGCTTCTGCAAACATATACGATGCGTTTGTTTTCAACGTGTCTGTTGCCAAGACGAATAGTCGTTAATCCATCGGAGCTGCAACTCGGAACAAGTCTCGCGGCAAAGTCGTACAATTTCATTACTTGGAGCGTTAAGTATAGAAATATGCGGAAGATGTATCGCAGTAAACTCTCAGGCAATTAGCGTTTCAACGGGCCGGCGAAGCGACCACTGAGTCGCTTGTATAAGGCTCGTCCGGCTTGTAAATCACAGCCGGAGAGAGAGAGAGAGAGAGAGAGAGAACGAGGGTATGCCAGCAAAAGCTGTACGCTTTCTCACCTATTTGAACGATCCATTGGTCTGGATTTGAGAGGGCCGCTCGTTGATATTCCCGATTCTTTCGTCTGTCCTGGTCGTTTCCTGCGAAATGAAATTTACAAAGTTTAGTATTTTCGTACCAAAATGCGATCGATGCTTACTAGATGTTAATTTGTACAGTCGAATAACGAATTGAATGGCAAGTAATTTTTCGTGACCAACCCTCGTGACGATGCTAATCGAGCGATTGTGTTATTATATTTGAGATTTGGGAACTCGTTGCTGATGAGATCGCGCCGTAGCGCTTACAAAAGTTCAACAAAACTTACATAAACAAACTTCTGAAATGACGCATGCCTTACTTTTACAGCAATACTAATGTATTGGTGCACGCAAAACGATATCATTTGTGCGTCTATGCAGTGCCTGTAGCTCGTTTCGCGGAATTTTTCAGATAAATAAGAGGATTTTATCGTCAGGGATGTCTCCAAAAATAGATGTAAAATCAGCTAATTTAGAAAAGAAGTAAAAAATATTTTTGAGCTTTTCTAAAACAGTGATTCAAGTTCACGACTGTTCGTGCAATGGTGCCAATAAAATTAACATTTAGCATCATACGAGCACTTATGAATTGAAACATGCAGGCGATACGAGAAATAATTAAAATCTCTAAAAGAAACAAGATGACAGTTTGCTACATAGTTGTTGTCAATTTAATTATTATCGATATATGAGTTGAAGCAATTATCTGCGTACGCAGTTAAGACGTTTTGAGTAAGTGCGAAAAAGTTTCCAGTGTCGATTCCACTTACTCGCAGCTAACCTTGACAGCGCTGAGCTTTGTTAATTTTTCATTTCTGCAACTCCTCGTCGTAAGTACATTTGCATAAACTTGTAATTTTAATATAATCAGCGACGAGATTTCGTAATTTTGAGTCGAAGTAACCGGCGCGACAAGTAAAATGCTGATAACGCGAAAGTGCGCGAGAGTGACATTTGTTTGACTGACTTTGGCAACCATTAATTCAGAAACGAACAAGGCGACGTCAAAAGGCATGCGCTGGAAAGTACAAATTTAAAAATAAGAACGAGTCCGAAAGCCACGATAACGAATTAGTTTACTGCTTCAGGGGACATGGAAACGAATGCTTTTGACAGAACGCATCAGAGTTCAGGGCGGCTATTTTGCGTTGCCTCCTGTACGCACAGTGATTGCATTGCTTGGTGAATTCAAGCACTTCCGAATTCAGAGCCTCTTCAGTTGGCAGCTATCCCCACGGCAGCTTCTGAGCGGTAAGCGGGACGGTCGATTAAAGAAAAATTGTAAACAATAAAAATCGATCTCTCGTTTCTTCCTCGCGAGATCGCGAATCGACTTTCGAGAAGCTATCTTCACGGTAGTCCGAGTCGACGGACAACCGAGTGAATGTCCACATACCCCGTCCACTACCTCGTCCACTACCTCGTCCGATTTTTCTATTCGAATGTCATTTTGACAATTCCGCGTTCATCGGCGAGTTCCATAGTCCACATTAAATACCAGAGTTGAACATGAAACCTTCGGAACTGTCGAGATGGCATACGAATAGAAACATCGGACAAGGTAGAGGAAGGGTTAAGGGTAGGGGTAATGGTGAACATGTGGACCACTGCACAAATGAGAGCGCATCCGGCTATTTCGTCGGAACAAATCGATAAATTGTAATGTTTCGTCTTGAACGCGCGACTGCGTAATAAAAGAAAGTCCATTTTTTCGTTGAATCACACTTGGGCAGACTACGCGAGATAGCGATAAGGCTTGAGACGCTGACGTCGGCGAAGAGAACCTGACGATTCGTCCGCGTTCGTTTGAACGGCGTTATCGCGCATCGACTTAGATACCAAGCTCGACTAGCCGAAATGCTTTCCACAAATGATATTTCTTCCACAAACGGCATTGAAAAAACTAACCTTCTACGACGTAGGATTGGTCGTTTCTCGACAAATTTTTCCTTTGTGTCTTTACTACTGCTGTGATAAGTCTATCTGTATTTACCGAATAATTACGTACTTTGTGTTCCACCTAATTCAGCAGTAAATTTTTTTCTACTACGGCAACTACTCATCGATATTCCAAACATTTTATTGCGCACGTACGTTTATTTGCGTCTGACCTCAAAAGTGTTTTACCAATTTTCCAAGCCTCCAGTTCTTTACTGTATACTTGTGAGTACTGGTTCGATACACGTGCAGTTGCATTATAACGTTATGTCGTTTTTCCACAACTGAAGGGACAGCGGCAATAAATGAAATGTCTGTAACTCGAAAATTGGCAAGGGCAGCATACACTTGCGCGACTTTGACAGTGTCGACGCTTGGGAGCGAATTTTCTACATTGGCAAGGGCGCCAGGGATTCCAGAAGAGAAAATTTGAAAGTGAAACCCAGTGCTGACTCGACGACGACTCGTTGATACATTCTCATCGGGCATCGTGGTCTCACGACGATAAAACTAGCGTGCGTAAGCAGATCAGACGCTGAAACGAGGCGCGACCAAGATCACTTCGCCCATTCGAATTTCAAGTGCTTCCCAATCCCAGCGACGTGCCCGTGCGCTTTTAAACGCAGCTAGAGTCGTTGGCTCAGATTTGGCGTGACAAGGCTGCTTTCGGAGATCGATTCCAAGCCGATCGTCGGCAAAGTTCTCGCGCGCGGTCGGCAGGATACGTCTGAAGGTGCTCGAAGATCGAGCGCGTGACATTCGAACGGCTCGTGCGCGGCTCGCTCGTCGCTGCGTCGAATGGTAATTGTGGAAGCGCGCCGCAGCTGCGGGCGATATTTCGGACGCGAGAACGGCACCCGCGTTAGTCCGTCGCTCGGGATCGGCGTTATTTCGGTCGAGCGGCGTTCGCCCCGAGAGCGAGACGAACGACAACGAACAAAGCCGACACTCGGCTACTCACAGCTGGGGCAGCTTCGGACTGTCAAGGTTTTTGCTCCTGGCCATCAGCGGCGACTGCAGCTTGCTCTGCTGCTGCTGCTGCTGCTGCTGCTGCTGCTGCTGCTGCTGCTGCTGGTGTATCTGGGCCGCGCCGCCGGGTGAGTACTTCTCTTTGTTGGTGGGCTTGCGGTTCTTGAGCCCGGGGGCGCGGTACTTCATGCGCGCCTCCAGTCGCTCCTTGGCCACGTTGTTGTTGGCCTGCGGACTGGACGGCAGGCGCGTGGCGCGCTCGCGGCAGAAGGCCACGTGGCGCTCGTACGATTTGACGCCGAACTGCCGCTGGCAGGTGGGACAGCTGCCCTTCTCGTTAGAGCGCTGCGGCGCCCCGGACGACGTGACGAGCGACAGGCTCGAGGGCCGTAATTGCTGCTGCTGCTGCTGCTGCTGCTGCTGCTGCTGCAGTTGCTGCTGCTGTTGCTGCTGTTGCTGCTGTTGATGATGATGGTGGTGATGGTGGGTGCCTTGGCCAAACGATGACGACGGTGAGGGCGCTACCGCGGTCCGCTGCACCGTCTGAAAGACAAGCCGTTATTGCTGATCTGATTATTAGCATTGGGCAGCGCGCGGCGGCTCGTTTCGTCTGCCGAGCAGCGACGGGGCGCGTCCTCTCTCGCGGGCCTCACCTTGTCCTTGACGGCCTGGATGCTCCTCCTCAGCTCGTCGCTTTTCTCCTTCCAGCTGGCGCTCTGGCGGCGACCGGCGCACAGCTGGCGGTCCTCGGCGCCGTGGGCGGCGCGCCTGCTCGGCTGCTCGTGCGCGCCCTCGGGCTTGGCGCGGCGCGCGAACTCGGCGAGATCGGTGCCCTGTATGCGCTGTTTGGACGAGTCGAAGGGCTTGCGCTTGCGCGCCGCCGTGCGCTCGCAGATCCTCACGTGGCGCTCGTACGACTGCGGGCCGAACTTGCGCTCGCACACCGCGCACTGGTGCAGCGCTCCTCCCGCCGTGGCCGCAGCCGCCGCCGCCGCCGCCGCCGCCGCCGCCGCAGCCGCCGCCGCTTCCGCTTGCTGCGAGTCTGACGGGCACACACGGAGAGAGCACGGCTATATTTTTGAGCGCTTTTCCGCCGCGGGGTAATTATAGGCCCTGGGGAATGGGAATGGCGCTTCTGCCTTTCGGGCTCGCCTTTTGCGCGACGCGCGACGTTTGTTTCCTTTGCGGAGCGGCGCCGGGCACCTGCGCGCCCCGAGCAGCTCCGGGCGCTCGCGAGGCTGCGCGCGGCCGGAGACTAACGGCAGCGAGAGCGTTGCGTTAGCGCGGAATTTTCTCGCGCGCGCGCGCGCGCATTGTTCATTGTTCCGATTGTGAACTGCGCCGCTTGGCGATCATTGCCGCCGCAGCCGCCACTGCAAACCCGACCGATCGTCGAGCATCGAGAGGCTTGGACGCACTAATTAGAAAGTTGACGCGCGGCGCGCGGCCTTCGCTGGGACGACGATGCATCGAGACCCAGTCAAAGAGAGCCTACCTAAATAATTCGCGCCTTCTTCCTCTCCGCGAAAAATACCGCTGGGGACAATGGGCGACGGCAGCCGGTAATTAGCATGAATTACACATCGACGCGGCTTTCTTCGCTCCTATCTCGTTAGATTGCTTTACGGAAATAATCAGCTCTTCCAACGGCTGTCGTAATGTTTATTTTTAGCAACGACGCTTCTCTTTTAGTTTTACTTCTTTTTCTTACGCGAGTGCGACAGCAGTAAAAGCTTAAGAGCGTTCTCTCGAGAGTCGCTTTTCTTTAAAATTTTCCTTTTTCGATCACCTATATCGTAAAAAAAAAATGTAACGGGGTAACGATGTTGAAAAACGACATGTACATTTTGAGATTTAATTTTTCTAGCGCGCGTCAAATAGGTCAAGTTAAATTTTCTTTAGATTTTTTTTCTTCTAAAAAATCAATACGTTATTCTAGAGATCGTAAGGAATCAAGAACAACAATAAGAGATATTAGAGATACCGGTATCCATTGAGAAGTTATAGTTATTAATATTTCTCTCACCGTGCCAATAGTATACCTGTGTGGCGCTACAGTCTGGACAAAAGTTTATGACGCACTATGACTTTGTTCATTTTTTTTCACCATTTCCGTGCAGTTAAGCGACACTCTAATAACTACGCGTGATCTTAGAGGGATTTTTCACGTAAGCAAATGCTAGTGACCCACAGTGGACGAAAATAAGCTTTTTGAGTTGACTGTTCCAAGAGAACGGCCACAAGTGCAAAATACCAATGATCTGTTGGCGTCGCGTTAAAATTGAAAGCGCCGAGCGAAGGAAAACAGGAGTGGCGGAGTGTCGCGATCGCTTGCGTAACTCCCAGGACAAGGCAGTTGCCGCAGCTGGTTCGGTCGGCGAGTGCGTCCCGACGTATTCATAAAGTTGGGCCAGAAAGAGGCGGAGATTCGCGCCCGCAGGTACATCCGTCGCGTGCGGCACAGGCCAGCCGAGAGGCCGAGGCGTCGCGCGAAAAGGCAGCGCAGCCGGGGAGCAGAAGGTTGAGCACACTGTCACGCACGGGCGTCGAGGAGGCTCTCCTCGGGCAGCGATCCGAGCCTGGGCGAGCGGGCGAAGCTGTCGGCGACGGCGGCGACGCCCAGCACGGCCTGGTCGAGCTGCCTCAGGGCGTCGTCCTCGCGGTCGCGCGCCTTGCCGAGGTCGCGGCATACCTCGACGAAGCGCGTGAGCTCGGCCGAGGCGCGGCAGCGCGCCGCCTCGGCGTCCGAGCCGCCGGCTGCCTTCCGCGACACGCAGCACAGCATCGCCGTCGCGCTACTGAACGCGCGCGCGTGCGGGATCGCTGCACGCACGCTCGGCCGCAACGAAGAGGAGGAGGCGGAGACGCGGAAGGGGTTTATTTTCGTCGACTCGTGTCTCTCTTTATCTTTCTCTCTCTCTCTCTCTCGCTCTATCTTTCTGTGCGTGGTTATTAAACGAGCGCCGCGGATGTGGCTTCGTTTTGACTGGAAAGGGCCGAGCGTCGCCTCTCTCGCTGCGGAATATTAATGCGTCGCGCACTCGAGGAAAATCGGGAATGACGCCACGCCAACAGTCTGTTCCTGCGGAAGCTTCGATGGAAACTACGGGCGCGCTGCTGCGCATTACCACTGCCAATCCGGTTTTTCAAGCCGATCGCTGTCGCGATTGGTCGACGATCACCGACAGCGCTCGATAATCGACCTTGCGGACACTAATGCAGATCTCGTAAACGTGCTATTTTTCACTTTCTTTTTTTTTCCCGCCGTGCGCTTAAACGCCAATCAGATCGGTCAACGAAGGCCTGATCGCTTTGTATCAGACTCGCGTCAGTGTGGCGACTAAATACACACCAATAACGCCCTAGGAAATTATATATCAGTCTAAGCTATATCTGGACAAAAAAGGTGGGTAAAAGAAAAAAGAAGAAAAAAACGCTGTTTGATTTACCGGCACGTTTTGGTCGGAACGATAATCTCTCGGCTTTATTTCCAGCACGACTGTACACAGAGCCCCGGCAAATGGGACGTCGAAAATCGCGAGGCGTTAGTTTTCAAAATATTGCGAGTAACGCGCACCGCGAAAATTTCAAGACGGCTCGAAAAGATTCGCCGAGCCGTCGATTTCACCCGGCTAACGTTCCGCGCGCGGCCTTATTTCCGGCTCGACGAAAAGATGTTTCTCCAATCAAAGTGCCAACGAAAAGAAAGAAAATTAATTGGAATTTCCAACGATTTTCTTTTCACGACGAGCCACGGCGCGCCTGCCGACACCTCGACTTTCACGCAGATGGATTATAGCGATTTCGATATTAACGACGCGAAGCGAAAGTTTGCCCGAGCGAACTCAGCGGCCGCGCGCGACGACGACAAAGCTCGGCGACTTTGAGTGGCGGCGGATACGAAGAGGCGTTTCGTTTGACGCGTGGTCGTTAAACCGCTACGCGATCCCGCGGGCCGCCTCAAAGTTAGAAAACCAAGGGACGAATGAAATATAAGCGCGCGCGCAGATCTCGAGTCGAGTCGCCCGTACGCCGACTCGCGGCTGCTGGACAGGCGAAGTGTAATGCCCTTTCGCCACGCGGCTATACTTTTAATTGCCGTGGGACACTTTTCGCGAAAGTGGTTCGTCGGCGAAAAGGGGGCGAGGCGTTTATGGCCGCGAGTTCGATTTTGTTTTCTCTCTCTCTCTCTCTCTCTCTCTCCCTCTCTCTGCTTTGCCTCGCACGTAAGACTGCAGAAATGCTCGTTTTTGCTCCTCCTCGCGTGGCGTAACGACTGCTCACGACCGAGGAGCGACGGAATACGATTGACCCGCAAAAGCAAATGTCGGCGAGCAGCGGCGCGGCCCGGCTACCTCCAAAATGCAAGTCGTTTTTTCCTTCGGTGGGCTCGATCAGCGATACGGCAGCGCTCTCTTCTCTCCGACTGTGGCTTGCACGACGAAGGCGTCGCGAAAGCTCCTAGCGAGGCGCGCGAACCAGTTCCTCCGACTGCTTTGATTTATTCGCCGTTGCGGAAAAGCTTCTTATCGGCCGTTCGCGCGCCCACGACCGCGACGACAACCCGGGGAGCCGGCCCACGCGCGCTCGCGTCTCTTCGTCGACGACGACGTCGCACTAGCTGCCCTCCCACCTCCCTTCTTCCTGCGCGAGCTCTGTTTACACATCGCGGTCTCCGACCTTCAGGGTCGAGTCCCGCGCGGAGCCGCCGCCAGCTCCCAGCGAAAAATGGCACGCGCGCGCGACAATTTACCTTCGTCCATGGCCTTTTCACTCACTGGTTCACACGGCGAGCCTCACTCGACATACTCCTCGCGCACGATCACAACGTTAGTTGAATTCACCGAAAATGCACACACAAACACAGTGCCGATCGCCATGTCCCTCGGCGAAGCTGAGCGTGAAAAGAGAAGACGCAGGCGCCGTGAGAGCGAACTTACCCTCGTGGTCGGCCATGTTAGTTGTTGGCGGAGAGTCGCCGTCGGACGTCGTCATGACGACTGACCGGCACACCGCGCGACCAGGCAGCGACGCAGCAGGCTCTCTCTGCGCTCCCTCGACGCTTTCTCTGGGCAGCGGACGATGTCGATCTCGCGGCGCTTTTCAATGCCCAGCGACGGCGTCCGTCGATCGCGACGTGGCCGATGCGACGGCGGACCGCATCGCTGTCGCTGCACCACGTTGCGCGCGAACGCCTTGGCCGCGCTGCCGATCGATATGCGTCTGGCTGCTGCTGCCCCGCGCGACGGGAGAGTCGCCGTCCGTCTTCCGCGCGATCGTTTCCCGACGGTCGCGAGCAAGCGGCGCAACTTGGCCGGGCGGCTCGCGGGTCGCGCGCACGACTCGTGGTACGCGAGAGAGCACGCGCGGCGATCCGGCGTCCTCGCAAGCTCGACGAGCGCGCGCCAGCACTTGGTTGCGCGACAAGCGCCTCCGAGCAACTCCGCTCGGGCCGTGCTCGCGCGGCTCGTTAACGTCAACGTTGCCAAGGACTTGCCCCGCACGCGCGCGCACGCCGAGAAAACACGAAAAAGGAGAGGAGCGCGCGATGACGCGGCGAAAGAGGATCGAGGTATACGGTGGACGGACTTTTTTCTTCGTTTTTCTCTCGAATTCCGCCGCGCGTGGGTGCGCGAGGAGAGGGGGGACGTCGCACGCGTCGATTCGGTATCGGCCGGTCGCGCTTCGCGCGATTTACCTCCGCTACGGGGGGGGGGGGGGGGCGTAAGCCAACTCGACGGACTCTGCTTGTCGTCGTCGCTGCAAATCCACGAGTTTATTTTGCGACAAGTCGACGCGATTTTGAACGGCGCTTCGTTCGCACGTGTCTGTATGCAACGACAAGTCCGTCATGATGGAAGCTTTGTGCCTTGCGATCAAAACAAGGTTCGACTTCGCACGCGCGAGCCTCCGCTGCATTCGGTTCTCGCGACAAAGGCGCAGGGGCTTTGCCGCTGGTCGACGGCCCTGTACTGGCGGCGCCGTCCGAACAGCTGATAATCAAGCGCACTCGCGTAGTCGCCGCAAGGACGCACAGCACGGCGAACGATCGACGAGTCGCAGCCGAGCATGGCCTTGATCAACCGTAGCCGCGTCTTCGGCGACCTTCTGCAGGTAAAGTCGAACCGTCGCTAGCCACCTCTCTCCGTCTTGCTCGTTGCCTTGACCCTTCGCGCGGCACCCACGCGCCGCCGACATAACCTCTCTCCGTTGGCGCAGAACCGAGCACACCCGAAGCCAGCCGAGCGCGGGTTTTGAAATCGGCGCGCTCTGATAGCACCTTATTTGATCGACCGCCCCTCTCTTTCTCTCTCTCTCTCTCTCGCTCTCTCTCTCTCTCTCTCGCTCTCCATCTCTCAATGTTGCAGGTGGGACGATCTATTACAAGGCCGTTCGCCGTCAGCAGGGCGACGCACTCGCGGCACGAGAGTTATGTGGAAACCAGCGAAGCTCATGGGGTTTGTGTGTACTTTTTCGATTATTAAGACGTTAATTTTTTTTATTTTTTCCTGACGATTGGCAGCGAATGTTGTGACGAGCGAAATGATTTTTTTTTTCAGAGATTTTAAACGAAATATATTTGTTTGAATGGCATGTTGTGGGTTGTTTGTATCAAGACGATTTGATGCGAAAAAAGCTCTCTTGTACAAAATAGATTGTATTATGACAAATAAATTGATTTTACGGTTTAGTTAAATTTTGTTGTGCGATGTTTGATCAATTATTACAACAGTTGAAGGATAGACTGTGATCGACAGTTTCTATTTGAATATAATTAATCACGTTTGATTATATAGACTTTGAATTTTTTGTATTCGCAAAAAACGTTATTTATCATTATTTTGTTTTTAACAAATGTTGATCAATTGACATTTCGATATCTGGCATATTTTTAAAAAGCCTGTCGCGCATTGAATCAACAAATGCCGTACAGCGAAATCACATTTACTTGCACGGCTAGGTTTCCCTTTTCCAAATGCATTAAGCAAATTTGCTCTGAAAATATTCACACTCAAGTTCCACTTGTCTTTTGTCTACGCGCATTATTAGTCGAGTTCGATTAGCATAGCTCGACAATGTCTTGCGAGCTGACTCGAGTGAAAATCGTGGCTTTCCAGAAAATTCATTCGCGTGGATTAACACAATGAAAAATTCGCTGCGTAGGTGAGGAGAATAATGTTGAATCATCCGAGGACGAGAAATTCGCTGTCGCTGGAAATGATGGGCGCTCTGTTGCAAAGCCTCGCAACAGACTCTGAGAACCAAAGTCTTCGCTCGATCGTCATCTCTGCTGCGCCTGGCCAGATATTCTCAGCTGGGCACAACTTGAAAGAGCTGGTTAGTTGAGCGTATGCTCGTTTGGGACATCGAGCGGGGGGAAAGAGGCGACCTATCGGTGTGCAAATGTATTTGTACTCTGTGATTCTTATGCATACTTTATTAATTCGTGGGCAAATATTTGAGCTGTTTTCCTTGGCCAAAAGTCATCGCTGCTCGCACAATCACGCAATACCGTTCGAAAAAACGACTCCGGACGTAGCTCTGAAAAGTCAATTGTATGTACTTGTTCAACGTCAGAGATCGAGTGACGGCGAGGACCACCATCGCTCAGTGTTTGAAACGGCTGCTCTGTTGATGAAAGCAATATCGGACAGTCCGGTGCCAGTAATCGCTGCAGTCGACGGTCTAGCAGCTGCTGCCGGTTGTCAGTTGGTTGCTGCCTGCGACATTGTCGTTTGCACGGAGAGAAGCAGCTTTTCCACCCCAGGGTAACTGATGCAACGCACTTTTAATCTAATTTTACTCGGATGACGGTCAAAAATGGGTGTTTCAGGGCAAACTTTGGCATATTTTGCTCCACGCCGGGTATCCCGCTGGTCCGAAACGTTCCTAGAAAAGTGGCGGCTCACATGCTTTTCACAGGGCTTCCTATCACAGCGATTCAAGCTTTCCAGGCCGGTTTGGTCAGCAAGTTAGTGCCAAACGATGGTCTTGGTAAATTTCGATTATTTTTCAACGCAAGGCTCTTTCATCAGCGTGTCAGTCCGTAATCCAGATTTTCATAATGTTTTAGAACAAGAAGTCAAGATAATCACCGATGCTGTCAATGAAAAAAGTCGGTCAGTAGTGAGACTCGGTAAAAGGTTCATCCAGGAACAGCAAGAAGTAGACATGGATACAGCTTATTCTCTCGGTACCGAGATTATGGTTAATAACTTGAAATTGAAAGATGCTCAAGAAGGCATCAAGAGTTTCAGTGAAAAACGAAAACCATCGTGGTCTCACGATTATGAGAAAGCATCCTAGTATTAATTATTAATTTCATAAATAATCATTTTGAAATACTTGTAAAAATGTATATACTAATATTCACATGTTTTTTATAAGTAAGGCATGTCTTTTTAAAAATTATTATTAAAAAGGTTCTTATATGAATAGATTATTATTTTCTATACGATAGGTATCTTACACGACAAATATATCACAATATTTGCTAAACTTGAGAAATAATTTGAAGTAACATACAAAACATGTTGGTAAAAAGTGTCATAACCGTAACTTTTATTTGCTATAGTATTTATAAATGTAAATATTTGTTCAAGATTTTTGGATAACTAATTGAAATTTGGACTTACTATTATATATGTGATAGCTTATCACAATATTTTTGACAAAATTATTTAATTTATAGAATTTTTCGGCACTTTCCTGACTTATCGAGTGCGTATCCCGATGGACAATATCCTGGTCCAATAATGAAGTATTGAAAATTAATCATATTTGTGTCATCAGCGTGACCTGGTAAATTATTATTCATTGTGTGTTGATCTCTATGGATATTCATAAAGTTATTTGGATAATCATCGGCTCTGCGATAATCAAGGATGCTGAAAACTGTGTCTCTAGACTTATCCAGCAACTGACAGAACAAAAAAGTATATTTTATTTTAAACATTGGAAAGAGATTTTTTTTAATAAGTAGGAGTTTAATGTGGAGTACAACAAAATTTTTTTTTATACTTAAAACTAAGCTAGAAACCACAAAAACATGTTATAAAAGTTATCAATTTACTTACTTTCTTAATAAGTAGAAGGGAAGATTCCAATTCTTCTCGTGCTATTTGAAAACTATCAACCACTTGTCTATGGACACAAAGTACTAATAAAAGTAAAACACAAAGTTTCACAATACTTCGAGGCATTTCGACTTTTTTTTTATAATGATGGTTTTCAGAATAACAATTATTTTTTTGTGATAAAAATATTCAAAATTTCACAACTTTTAAGCGAGCTTTTCAAATATATTTCAACTTTGAATCAGTCGAAACAACTTATTGTGGTTTTTATATGAATTTACATGCTACAAAGCACGAAGTAATTTTATTTTTTCTTCAGAAGTTATGTTTGATACGTTTCTACTCTAAAGCTTGGAAGAACTACGAAATCGGTTTAAAAACTTATGATAGCGAGTTATTGAAGTGTAACAAATGCAAATGACAGCTCTTTATATGCTAAAAATGACTTATCTAACTATCTCCTGATCAACTGAGATAACGATAAGTGTTGAATTTCATATTTTGAAAAGGTTTATTGGTTTTTCATAGTAATAATGCTTAGAATATTTTCATTCGAGTATTTTTATCTTGAAATCGAACGTTGAACTTTGGCTGATGTGGTAGTTAGAATTGAACAATTTCAATCGAAATCTCCGTTTGAAAGCTTCAAAAAATGACCTACGAATTATTAATTATGACCATTAATTTGATACGATCTTCGTTTTCTAAAATTTACTCTTGCTTTGTACTGTGTATATATTTATTTCCGCATGGAACAATAATTCAATAATCATGTACTATTACAACGTAATTTGAAAAATAAACAGTACACACACTAAGTAGCCGCAAATCCTGAAATGATGTAAATTATAATTTAGGAAAGGGTATGGCAAGTTTTAGTGATAATATTTGAACCATATCAATGATGTTTTAATTTTGAATGTTATTTTTATCAAACATCGCTTGATCATCCAGTGCGTCAGACGTGTTGCCATGCAGATATTAATCTGAATTATAAAAATAATTCGACTATCTTCATTATTTGAAGTACATTGTTTAAATAAAAAAAAAATTTCAAAGTAAAACGCAAAAAGTGAAAGTTGAATGCATTTCCTAACTTGTTTCCTTGAACAAATTTCCACGGTTAATTCTGCTAACATTTATTACTTGCTTAAAAGAGCGTCACGAGTGGGTTATTTATATCATTTATGTGCACATATAGTTTTTACCAGTGGAAAATCGAAAATGCTAACAAACGATAAGTGCAGATAAAACCAATCAATTATTGAAGAACTTTGCGCAATCGTCCACGTTTATCTCGCAGATATTTTGGCCTCCCATCGGAATTCAAACGTGGAGGAACATTAATGATACTCCGCTTCGAACGCAGGGTCGAATCATCGGTTTCACCATTATCCGTAACACTCGTTTGATCACAGCCAGAATTCATTTCTTGATCGAGTTCTAGCAGAAGTTGTAAATTGTTTTTCGCGACATCGTTACTCGATCTTTGTTGCCCATTTTCTGACGAGTCTTTCATTTTTCACGGCTAATACTACTTAGAGCGTTGCTCGTCTCTGATTATTTCAGTTACGTACGATGCTGAATCAATTGGTCTTAAAACCGAGCACGAAAGGTCAGAGTAGCACAAATTACGTATGTATAAAATTTTTCAAATTAAATACGACGTTTCACTCATAAAATTCATTGAATTAGAAACAAAGGCTGTTGGATTGGTCGCTGGTGAGACACTAAATATCAGCCTGCGGATCGCCAAGGTTTAAAGACATATCTTATCTGTTAAGGTAATGGATTTTTTACAAATGATATGACGTTTTTTAATCATAAAATATATTATTATCGCTGAATAATTTCTTCTCTAGACTAGCTATAGCTCATTTTCTAAGTTATCTGTATTCCTTACTAATATCTCATTTTAATGCTCATTTCTAATAATAATTTTGTAAACAATAGCTTTCTAATATTCATTTTTTCTTGTTATTACTGCATTTGCAATTAACCTTAAAGTGTTGACAACCTTCAAAATTATTGTTATCAAAATTACAAGTTAAAATTTTCCGCAACACTTTAATTCAGTCATAACTCATACGAAGTTAAGTAAATATTGAAACAAAAATGTCTTTCGCAGATAATGAAGATAAAAAAGTAGTTGCGAAGTGAAGATTTTACAATAATCTCTCGATTATTAGAAAATGGGAACCTACTTAAGCAAAAGGTATAAAAATCGTTGCTTTTAGTAATTATTGGTGAAAATTCAATCATCTGGGCGAAATATTGAAATCTATCTATATTGAGCTTTTATAAAAAAAATATTCAAAATAGTGCACAGCTTTAACGCATTCACTAATAACAATTTTTACTCCTAAAAAAGCGTACTACAACTACCTATAATAGTATTAATTGTAATGCGTGCCATTATTATATATATGTGTGTGTGTGTGTGTGTGTGTGTGTGTGTGTGTGTGTGTGTGTGTGTGTGTGTGTACACGTATATATATATATAAATTGTGTGAGTGCATATGTGTACACACACACACACACACACACACACACACACACACACACACACACAAACAATATGTTATATACTTATATACATATAAATATATTTATGTGTGTGCGTGTGCGTGTGCGTGTATGTGTGTGTGTGTATATGTACATATATACATATATTGAAGCAAGGACTTATTATCATCCTTGTACGGTCGAATCTCTTTCAAAACTTGCTGTACGAGTACAACGAATGTAGCCACCGAAAATTGATAATAAACACGGTAAACCCATGTGTTTGAATTTAAACGTTTAATATGACGTTACCCATAAGAAATACATTGTCCCCAATTTGAAACACTTCTAAACGTTTAAATTCAGCGACAATGTATTTCTTATGGGTGACGTCACAATTGCACACTTAAAACGTTTAAATTTAAACACATAGGATTTTGAGGTTTTGCCGTGTAAAGGCTTCGTGAAATTGTAGCTTTATCGCTTTCGGAAACGCATCTCTTTTTCAATTTTCACTTGCTCTCAAATAGTATTGTTAGGGTTTATGAAAGATGCAATACAAGTAAAGTTGATTTTTTTTTTTATTTTAACATGCATGTACAAACGAGTATAAAAGATCGTACGGATATTCTATTAGCGAAAAATAGCAATAGGAAAAGCCTACGGGTAATAACAATCTCTAAAGAATAGCGTGAAAACAAAAACGCGCGTGGTGCGTTCAGTTGTCGTCGAGTCGGTTCTCGGCTTCGTCCTTCTCCATGACGAAGCGCGCGACCCTGGACGCCTTGTCGTCCTTGTCGTTCCTCTTCATCTGCTCCATGGTCTCGACGGGAGTGGACTTGGCGTCGGCTTCGGCTGTGGCCGCGCGAGCATCGCCTGCAGCGGTAGCAGCAGCCATCTCGCTGTCATCGCGACACGCGCGAATCGACGGGAGCATGGGGCCAGTGGTGAAGCTGTCCTCGAGAGACTTGAGGCGCATCATGCTAGGGTACATCATGTGTCCTCCCATGCTCACGGGGTACACTCCGCCACTGGCCATCGGCGACGATTGCGAGAAGGCCGCTTGCGGCGTCGACATCATCATGGGCCGCATCGAAAGGTAACGCATCGCTGTTCCTGGTGCCAGAGCTTGCGTTGTTGCTCCCGGTGCTAATCCTTGCACCGTCACTCCCGGTGTCGAGCCCTGAATCGTCACTCCCGGTGACGATCCCTGAATCGTCACTCCTGGTACCAATGTTTGTACTTTTACTCCGGGTTCTGTTCCTTGCAATTTTACTGCTGGTGCTAACTCTTGTATTTTCGTTGGTGCTGTTACCTGAAACAATTTCAAAATCAGCTTACTTTTGCTTTTTGCTCCACGAGTGAAACGAAAATTCAGGGAAAGAATTGATCATTGAATATACTGGAGGTATTGAAGTTTAAATCGCGCTATTTATTAAACGTCTACTCAAGATGGTCCACGTTCGATGTAAAAGACCGGATTGGCAATAAAAAGTGCGTAAAAATTATAGCGCGATCGCTTTCATTCTTGGATCGGAAAACAGCTGAATGAAGATCAACCGATCGTTCGATAAGAGGCAGTTGGTCGACTCACGAGCATATTCTGTCCAGAGCTGGCGGCGGAGTTCCTCTGGATGTCGTGCAGGAACTTCATAGCGAGAGCCTCGTTGTTGGCGAGCGTCGACGCGTCGGCGGATTTACCGATAGGCCCGCTGTGACAGGTGCACTCGACGCCGTGGAGATGGTGGGCATGAGTCGGCGGCAGCACCGGGTTTGGCAGAGGCTTGACGAGGTGAAGTCCCTGGCCGCCGTGGAGGGTGGGCAGGCCGTGCAGACCGTGCAGACCGTGTTGGTGGAAGTGAAGCACCTGACCCTGAGCGCTGATGGAGGAGGTCGGCATCGGGATCACGCTGGGCATCTGGGGGATACAGTTGCCGGTGGGCGCGTAAACGACCTGCTCGGGCGGCTGCACCAAGAACGCGGCTATTTCCGGCTCGCAGGGTATGTCGATGTTCAGCGTTTGCGTCGTTGGTATCAAATCCGGCTGATCCGGTAGCGGATCTGGCTGCGGTTCCGGTGTTGGCGGCGGTAGTACCGGCTGTTTGTCGCTGCAGTCGACCACTACTGGCTTGTTGTCCTGGCGCACTTCCACGCAGAACGTCACGTCCTTCTTCGCTCTGTCGACCTTCTGGCTAGATCCTGCTTCGGTAGCTCGCAACGAGTCCAGGTGTTGGTCGACTGGCTCGATCGCCTTGGCGTTGATCGACTTCTTTAGGGGACTGGCCGCGGCCATAGCCACGCAAGCCACAATTACCAACAGACGCATTGCGGTGAGGTTGCTCTTGTCCCCGTTAACACTGTGCACTGCAAGGCACTGATGCTTCCGACGTGCCGCTGCAGGGTATTTAAAGGTGGAATCGAGGCCAGACCAAGCAGCCGGATTTCATCACTCGGCGCCCGAAAAGCGCGATTTTGTTGTTTTTTTTGTTTTGGGATGCGTGCTCGATCGAGTTCTTCGCGGTTTCTTCACTCGCGGTACGTCCTCAATGCTTAGCGCGATGCGACCACTTATTTTGCTTTTTCGCAGAGCTTGCGAAAGGTAACGGTGTCACCATCGATAAATTGTTTGAATTAGACGTCATCTACCGGATTTCAGTCAATTATATCGTCAATTTTCTCGTAGATTTCTTAAAAATGAAGAATTTTTATGTGACAGGTTCGGCAGAAAGTTTAGGAAAATACGAATTGTTTTTCATATACAATGATAAATAGAGCAAAAGCAAACGAAAAGAAAACTGACTCTATTGTCAAATTTTTTATTATCCATATATCATTACAGTTGGTCAATACATTTTTCTATATATACATTTTTTATGAAAAAATTGGCATGCCAAAAAATTCAGCTTTCCCCTTTTTTCAGCAGGGTATTTTCGATTTAAAAATACGCAAATTCTACAGCTTAAAACCGTAATTCGTAATTAAATTATTACAAAAGATCTAATTAAACAGATACATGACTAGATTGACATTGATTTTAAAAAATCACTTTGTATAATACAAATATTTCTAGAAATCTTCGCTCCAGCATGCATTAGAAAAATATAAAGCATTTTATTTTATTTTTGAGCTTGTAGTCTCTATTGCATCAATTAGTCTTTTCGCGTAAAAATTTTCATTTTTACATTTCAAATAATCAGTGTTGTTAATATTTATCACAAATAATTACTCAAATCAAATAAATTTCATACAGAAGTTTCGATTCCAAATGCGAATGTCTTTTTATCAAGTACGGTTATTTTACTTTGTTGATATTTTCTTGTAGTTTTAGTCTGATTGATTTCAAATAATGTACCACTAAGAACGATTAAGCATTAAAATTTATCAAATTGGATTTGATTTTATATCCGTCAAGTCTATAAAATATTTTCCTTTTCTTTTTCTGTATCTTTGACGATGACAAGTCATTCTCTAACATGGCAAACTAGCATAGTGCATGATCAAAAACAGAAACAAACTAAGTTAATAATTAAAACGACAAATAGGCAAAAATATTTTTTTAAGATATTTTTCGTCATAGAATTATTGTAATAACATTGAAATACTTGATAAAATTTTAAAAGCGTGAGCTCATTTATTCATATGTTCATATATACAATTTATAGATATTAAATTTCCGTGAAAAATAGTCTTTCAATGTTTTCCCTACTCAACAAAAGTATCACAAAAATGTCATGTCTTACAAAACCAAAATCAATCTTGAAAGTTTTGAAATTTTGAAGATAACCAAGACATTTAAAAAGTAACCGCTTTGTTACTTATAACTTAAATTTTTTTAAATCGCTTATGAAAATGAAAATGTCCAAGTAGGAACCGATTATGGAATACAAGCGAAATTATGAATTTCGTTAACAGGCATTTCTATTTGAATGAATTGAAAATAGCTGAAGCATTTTAGTTAGAAATTTCTTTTATTTAATCGCGATAAATTGATGAGTATAACCAGTATACACGCAAACTTTGTAAATTAAAATAAATTTGACATACTTGTTCAACTTATGTACAATTGCGTGCATAAGTTAGTTCCCACCCTATAATAGATTGATCTAAAATTCAAAGTTTTTTAGCTCCGTCTATAATGGATGTAGAAAAACTCGCGGGGACTCATTTTAAAAAATAAAGCAATACCTTTCATATTTCATTGATTTTCTTTTTAAATTGAAAATCGCGTTTTTTACATTAAAAAAACTGAACCATTTTTTTTTTTACCTTTCGTAAAAATCACCTTCTAACTTTTAAACGAGTAAGTCAATTTTTTTTAAATTAGATGAAATAGAAACGCATTTGTCTCCTATTGAAAACGAGCGGGACAGGATCCATTTTTATCGAGTCAATAACAAGTTACGTTCATTTTTTTTAAACAATCTCTTTTTTTTCAAGTTTGATTATCTTCGCATATACAGTATGGAAAAAAACTCCAAAGAAAATATGTTTACTTTTACATATAGAATAAGTATTTACTAAAAAAAATTTAATTTTTGAAAAAAAAATATTGTAATATATTCTTATACATTTAACAATTGTGATGACAATTTGGTTGGTAATGGATTTTTTGGAGCAAATCTCCTAAATATTATAAAATAGCAATGTTCTTTTCGTCAGTAACTTGACTATTTTTATTAAAAAAAGTTTGTAGAAAAAAAGTCTGATAAAAGATTAAAAAAAAAATTATTTTGGAATGTATTTCCGTTGTCGTTTTGTTAGCACGAGTGAACCCAATTCGTAAAAAACTGCTGAAATAATAAATTCCATGCGCGCACAGCTGTCACTCAAGAACATTATGCTCAACTGCATTTCGACATAATTTTGCAATGCTCAGTTAGTAGTCCACCGAAATAAATCCAACGACAATTGTTAATTGTTCGTAGCGCGTGGGCGATGTAAGAGGCAAGACTGGTTGAATAATTAGTTCAAAATGCAGACTTTTATTGACAGTACAGCGATAAAGAGGATGCGAAATTCCATAGAAAATATAAAAAATAAGGGGCAATTTTGGAATTAAACTACAAGTCTCGTCACGTTGGAGCGGGCGTGACCACAATTCTTGCTGGCTTTTCAAAGTTAGTCGATTCGGTGACGCTCGTCGGAGTTGGCATATCCTCGATCATCTCTGCCATCTTTTCGTTCTTCTTCTCGACGTCCGCGGTGCTAGCAAGCTTGATCGACTCCGGCTTTAATTTGCCCCGAGCATCCGTCGCGTCGACAGTTTTCCGAATGGTGGTCGGCACTGTGGCGAGCTTGGCACTTGGCGATTCCGACGCGACGGAAACGGCTGCCTCGATCTCCTCACCGGCCATCTCCGACCGGGGCGACCTCAATTCCACGTCGACGTGCGACGGCACGGCGGTCCACTTGCTTTGATCGAGACCCGGATTGAGTGCGTCGTCGCCTTTCTCGGTCACGTAAGTCTCGCCGACGCTCATCAGCGGCCCAGGAGGCAGGCCCGACCTCTGCGTCGGCGGCTCGGCCTTCGCCGTGAGAGGCTCGAAGTGGATCGGTTGGGCAACGTCGTGTCGTTTGTCCTGGGACGCGTAGTGGTAGCGATGGGGTTTGCGGGCGTCGCGAGCGAAATTCTCCATCGCCTGGCGCACCACGGACTTAAGCTCGCTGTCCGACGGCGAGGGCGAGTCATCGAAGGCGTCCGCTCGGTAGACCACGAACAGACGATCCCTGCCGGGACTGGCGCGGCGTGCTTCCTGCAAACGTAACATAAACGTAGGCGTCGAGCGAGCTGCAGATTGGCCTAGTCGAGGGAAAGCGACAGTCGGCGCACCTCCTCCGAGTCGTCCTCGTATCCGTCGGCATCCCTGACGTACGGCCTGTAGTTCCTGTATAAGTTAGCCGGTGGACCGGACTCGTCGGCAAACGGCAGCGGCTTCGCGGGAGGCTCGTCGGGCTTGTCCGCGTCCGAGGATCGTCGGCCGTTTTTGCCGTACGCGGCATAGTCGTCGCCGGCGCGAAGACTCCTGCCGCATCTGCAGGAGCCGTACGGCCAGTCGTAGCCTGGCTGCCCGTACGAGTCCATATAGTTGTCCGTCGGCTCGTCGTAGGCATAGGGAATGTACGCAGTTGCGGCTCGGTGGTAGAGCTGCGCGGGAGGCGCGACTGGCTGGTAAGGCCGCACCGCTGGCGTGGGGTACTGTCGAGCCTGCGTCTTGGTCGCAGGCGCCGCGTACGGGGCTGCGGTCGGGTGCGGCCCGTACGACGGCTGAGACTGGGCTGGTTGGGCTGCCTCGGCTGGCGCGTACAGCGCGATCGAGCTGCGAAACGGCACACTGTTTATTCCTTGGGCTGACAAGCGTTTTCGGGATTAATTCGTAATCGAGACTTCTCGTTTACGAAGCGAGGCCGACTGTCGCCGGAAAAATCTAGTATAAAGAGCACCGATGAGAAACGCGAGACTCACACTGGTTCCGCGAGTTTTTCCGGGCAGTCGCCCGGGCAAGTCGGACACCCGTGGGCTCTTCTATGCCTGGCGTGGTGGTATCCTTGCGGAATAGCGTCGGCGGGCAGCAGCGCGCCGCCGAGCCCGAGTGCAACGAGAAACAGCGATGCGACCCTGCGCGCCGTCGCCATGATCGCGCGATTGACCGGCAGAAGCGACGAGTGCGCTTTTTTATGAGCCCCACTGGTGCCGCGGAAGTCTGACATTCGCTTGTTTGTTTGATGTCGGCTTTCGCATAACAGGCGCGGACGCGCTGCCGCTCTCTTGTTTCAAAATATTACGTATTGTTGCAGAGATAAGGAGAACGACGAGTTCATATCCCAGAGGACGCTGGACGTCGCCAAGGACGTCATGTCGATGATTCGGCAACGTGAGTGAGCGTCGGCGCAACGCTGTCGATCCACCGGGAGCCACCGAGCAACGAGCGCGATTCAGATTCCAGGGAAGAAGGGCTGTTTCGGCGCTCGGGACGCGGGATGCTGCGCGACCACGTGCTTGACTCGCTGCGGAAGGGGGAGAGGCTGCGGATCGCCAACGGCCCGGACTCGGCCAAGGAGTGCGCGGCCGCCTTGCACCTGTTCCTCGTGCAAATGAAGTCGCCCTTGATACCGCGCAGAGTGCAGCAATTGCTGCTCGGTAAGCCGAACATATCGGCCGCCTCCTCGTCGCTCCGGAGCACGCGACGTTGATTCGCGCTTGCGCAACCGATCCAACGGTCGCCCGAATGTTTGGCGCGCGTGAGCCGCAAGCCTCGAACAATTACGCTTCGTTCATGGCCACTTCAGCGCCGTTTGTCCTTCGCCTTGTAAAAGTTTACGCTGGTCAATCGATGTCATTTACTATTCTTGCAATGACGCCGATAACTTTTGCAATTGAATGCTTCTGTTTTGTTAATTGCAAAAAACAATTGATTTTTTGCATTTTACAAGGAAAGTAAGCTTCATCCTTCGCCTACCCTATACCGAATCAATGAAAATTGATTTCCAGGTAAAAGTACTTGACTAATGTTACTTTATTCACAAAATTAACTATTCAAACTCTTTTGGCAATCGCGTAAAAAGTTGACAACTGGTGGAATGGTCACACATTTCAGCTGACAATCCTGGAATAGAAGCACAAATGATAGCAGAAGATGCGCTCGGACTGATTCGCCAAGACGTTTCCGGTCGCCAGAGCGAGCTTCTACGCCATCTGCTCGAGCTTCTGAGACATTTAATAATCAATGCGACGTTGTCGCAAAGAGCGGACACTCGATCGCCTCCGCTTGCTGTCATATTTCTTCCAGTTTTCTTCAACCTATCGGTTATGATTGCCCAATACATCTTAAACTAATTATTCATTAACGTGCGATAAAGCGATAGTTCCAAAATAACGTTTAATACGCTGTATTATGTAATTTGCTAGACAATTGATATAATGGAGTGGCGACGAATCGCGACAAGGTTAAATGAGCTAATAATCGAGGCCCCTTATCACTTGAATCGTCAAAATAAACAATCTGATGCAATTGACGGTGGCGTTGCTCCCGACCAGACGATCTTGATGGCCAGGCTCACTTTGTACGATCCACTTGTGAGAGGCGATCAGAACAGAAATGATGGTATATTCTTAATCGACTGAAAAATAAAACGAAAAAATCAATTTAAACGTAACGCATGTTGTCATTACTGCAGATCAAGTTAATGACGAGACAAGACAATACGATCGCTACTTGCAACGTCCACTTGCAGGCAGACTTCATCCAGCTATATTACGAGTGAGAACATAAAGGATTAGGATATTCAAGTGAAACTACAGCAATATATCTTACAATGCATTTTCTTTATTAAAAAAATACATATGCTAACGACGTAAAGATTTCTTCAAAATTTTCATCGCCAGTTTCATCTAGATAATTTTGTCTAGTTTTGAGAGAAACATTTAACGAGTCATAAAAATACATACAATAGACTTACAAAGATTCGCGCCATTCGATATTTTACGCGTAAAACAATCACGTACTATACAGAAACACGTATAGTGTTGCAATAGAAAAAGAGTGAATAATAATAACTAGTAGTAGTGACAATAATAATAATAATAATAATAATAATAATAATAATAATAATAATAATAATAATAATAACGATAAAAAAGAGGAAATACTTGTTTATAAAATACAGACGTCTCAATAATGATTGTTCTGTGCAAGGTATTTGTTGCGACATCGGCAGTTTTGTTTGTCAATCCAACGGAAGAGAATCGTCACGAAACACTTTTAAATTCAACAAAAGTATGAGTTATCATACTTTGTAACGTTCAATTTAAACTCTGAATCGAATACATTTCTTTCTTTAGTTTACTTAAAGATACGGGAAAATTATTTAATTCGATAACAATTACTTTATCATAGTCAAAGCTTTGATTGTGGTATTTCTAATGGTTTATTAGCAACTTCTAGCAGTTCTGTCCACCACGTCGCTCGTTCTGCACCACCCGGATAACACCGAAAGGCTTCTTCAAGACGTTCATAAACCTATACATATATTTCGATAGTTATCAAATAAACTCAATGTATCCAGAAACTATTGGATAGACAAACCTGAATCATTAATTACCTTTCCATCTGACATGCCCAAAATAGAGTTTAAAACGAAATCTGGTGGGGCTAGGGCATCAGCGATTGCAACAGCCTCTGTTTTCAATTCGCTACATAAGTTTAAGATGTTTTCCTTTACAAAGTCAGCCATTTGTGGCCCAGTGCAATAACCACCTAAAATAATACAAATTTACATTAAATGATTCACTTGATTTTCGTGTTGGATAAATAAGTGTTGTTATAAACCTTGATAAAACGACGATAAATGTTTGTCAATGCAAGTTAACGAATATAATAATACCAAATTGTTCAGAACAACTCTCAAACTTCTAGCATCAGCAATTGAAGGAAGCAAGTTTTTGATTCGCATTGTACAGTAGTGCAGAACAATCATCTGATAGAAAAACAATTGTTAATTACGTCGCATTCTAATTTTTCATTATTGCATGTGCTTCTCAATAATTACCTCTCCATAAGCTCTTGATAAGTTTGCTGCCCGATAGACTTGCGTCCTACCGCGAGCAGTAAAATTACTTGCTCCTTTACCAAGTTCTTCATCGCATTTACGTTGTGTTTCTACGATCAGCCAAGTGATTAGCCATTCGTAAGCTTCTCGTACAACTATAAGATTAAAAAAAAGTCAAATCAATGATAAGTCATCAGATAAGAATGTTTTATAGACTCTCAATTGTCTTGCATGTCATACATTCTAAGTTTATTTTTGGGTACTTCTTGGAATCGAATTTCTTTCGAATGATAGCTGGACCTTCTATTAAAAATCCGACTGAAGCCAAAGGACCAACAATCGTTGAGCCATTTTGCAAGTTGTTCCACTGCCTTAATATCCAGTTACTTGTTTGTTGAACAAGTACATTATTGTCACCTTCGTACGTAACTGTCGGCTCGTGATTAACAGCCATATCACCCAAAGCCGCAGCTAAACAACAGAAAGTAATGCTTTATTGTTTTTTTTGTTTTCAATATTAACTATTTTAAATATCTGAGTTACCTTTGTGGTATCCGTGACCACCGCAAGCTTCTCTGCATTCTCTTATCGCGTCTCGACACGTCCAAGTAATTAACGGCTTGATTGCAGACACGATGCAGTGGATTTCAGACACAATTTGACTCTGAAATAACAAATTTATAATCAATACTACAAAATCTCTAAAATAAATGCATTCAACTGAACAATATCATCGAATATTACGAGATTTGGAATATTTGCTCCTTCCATAGACTTTTCGACATTTTCTAAATATACATTTGTGAACTCTGACATGAAAATTCTGAACACACAGGCGGCAGCTAAGTAAGGAAATAGTCTCCATTGCTGAAAAAAGAGCAAAACACTTAAAAAGTCGTCCTCGAAGATTATCTCAGTTTAACGACTAACTAATCGGCTCACATGAAGTTCATATTCGATAATGGGCGTCTCGTCAGCCGAATCGACGTGCGAGGTGGAAAACTGTTTGCGTACAGCAGCGTATCTAACAGCTATGATGACGGCTGCGCCGAGCCTGTTAGTGGACTCTTGGCAAATGCCCATCCGACCAGCGGATAAATTTTCCAGCACAGCGCCTGCAATCCAGTGTCAGTAAAGGCAATTAATACGAACGAACGCCGGCATCAGTAGCGCGATTATGGGCGCCTACGTCGTACCTAAAATTCGCTGAGGATCTGAGAAGGAGCTTTCATATTCACCCTCCGCATTGACGTCTCCCGTTCTATTCAACAAATTTTCCTTTGGTATCTTGTAATTATTGAACATTATGAAGCCGTTGTCAATGCCATTGAGTCCGATTTTCTCGCCGAGGTCGCCAATTATCACACCGGGATAAGTTAGATACGTCTTTGGATCCCTCACGGGTACAATGAAGGCGTGTAATCCGTGGCGCGACTGGTGCGTTATCAATTGGGCGAAAACTATAGCTATTGTCGACGTTTTACCTATGCAAATTACAGTTTCAAGTCGATAAGATTGCGATAATATTTAGTGGAAAAAACAGGGGAGCGGGGAAGGGGAATCGACGTTTACCGAGATTGCCAATCCAACACTTGGCAGCTTGAAAGTCTGGCGTGTGCAAAACGAAAGACTGGCTACTTGGATCGTAGGTCGCTGTTGTGCGCATCATTTTTGTATTGCTCCCATGACCTACTTCCGTGAGAGCAAAGCATCCTAGCGACTGGAAAGCGACAATTACAGCTCAGCGACTCTCGAAAGCGTTCGTTTCAAGTACGGAGAGCATATAAAAATAATAACGACCTGCTTGTTCCACACAGCATGGAAAATGGGATGATGACGCTCGGTGCCCAAGCTCAGCAGTGTGTTGCCGAACAGATAAACGCCAAGCGCAATTTTGACCGATAATGCCGGGTCGACCATGCAGGTGGCTTCGTTCAACGTCATCATAAATCCTGTCTTCTCGTGGAGACAAAGACAACAGATGAAAAAGTTATCGCAGATAAGTCCCTTCGAGCTTATTCATAAGTTCACCTTAACGCCGTAGCTCAGCTGGGTTACATTCGACGGCACGAACTTTTGGTGATGTAGGCGCGCCAATCGGCGGGCCGCGCGCCTCTTCTGCTCGTCCGCGCTCGGTGTGACGTCGAGGCGCGGATGAAACTCCGGATCCAGCTCCATCGCCCTCCACAGTTTCATCTGTAAAATCGTCACGCGGAGATTCACTCGCTGTCATCGCGTCGGCGGCTGGAGCTCGCGAGAGCAATCGAAAAGGCCACGCGCGGCAACGACAGCCATTGCGATTGCTTCGCTCGTAACGGTATTAGTCCAAGTCACGCCGCCGGCACGATCGTTCGCACATTCGGTCGAGCGCTGAAAAACGCTTATCGGCCTCGCGCACCATAAATGTCCGAGTTGCCGCAGCGGTTTTCCACGCTCGATGAACCTGCCGCTCGCGACTGACAAGAGAAAGGGAGCGACCGGTGTACGCACCTTGAGTCGAATCTTATCCGGATCCTCCAGTAAGATCCTGAGCCTCTTCCAGCAGAACGAAGCCGAAGCGCGGTACTTGTCGAGCTCGCTACCCTGCGGCATGTCGTCCAGCCACCTGATGTCCTCCTCGAAAATATGCCTCTGCGGCACTTTGGAAACTGGCGCTGGCATGTTGTCCACGTTGTCCTCTCGCCTGTGGCCAACGCGGAACAGAATAAGAAGCGAAAAAGTACGTTACGAGCCAAGTCAGCCCCCGTGCTGTGCCTCGGAGAGCGGCACGTACGCGCGCCGTCGCCGAGCCGCCGCCGTCGTCGCCGCCGCCGCAACCGCCGCCGACAACGAAATCTCGCGATTTGGTCCTTTCGACAAGCGTTTACACGAGCGAAGACACTCGACAAGCCGGACTGACTGCGAGTCGTTGTGCGGCCAAACAGCGAAATGACATGTCGATATTACGCGACAGCGAGGGCGCGTCACTCCACGGGACACTTATCACCGTCGAGTAGCTCGGGCGCGCACACGCACTCGCTGCGATCTGCGGAAAAACGATCTCGATCGGTCGACGCTCCCTCCGCGTTGTACGCGACGAGCGCCAGCCGTAACACTCGACTATTAACGTCGACGTAGCTTTTCATCGAACACGCTGCCGCGGACGGTTGAGCACTCGGATGTCAGTGTTGTACGGAAGTTGCGCAGACGCGCGCAAAATCAGCCGACGGTCACGTGCCGAAAGCCGAACTCACGGCTGTCCTATTGGAGCCATCGCGTCACGGAGCAGGAGAGCACAAACTGTAGCGTCTCATCAGTCGGCGATTCTTTCTCAGAATTCGTAGCTCGGAAGAGCCTGTAGAGAAACTATCGGTTCGCAGGCATGCGCCATGTCTTTCTGCGTTGTGTCACCGCGTCGAACGGTCGGGGGAACGCTCTCGGGCTTTTCGCACGTCGTCGAGCCGTCGTTTTCCGAACGAGTGCAGCTCTTTTGTGCGACAGCTATCGTAAGTATTCAATGAGCGCACGCACGCTGATAGTGAGCTTTCGAACACGCGTACGTCTTTGCAATGCTCGAGAAAACGCGTTCAACATATAGGAAACTCGATTGACGACGCAAGTCTGACAGAACATCGCAGCTCTCGGAGCCATCGACTCGTTGATTTCACGGTAGCTCGCATCGACGTGAAATCGTTTGCCCCGTCGCAACGAGCCCGCAGCCGCGAGCACGAGATCGATATGCGCTTGGTTTGCCATCGACTCGCGAGCCGGCGCGCCTAGGCGTAACTTGCACAAATGGTTCAATTACACGACCAGTCGCACGACAACTCCCCCTACGACGATGGTTTTCACGTGTTAACAGCGCGCTGCGTCGACACGTAATGCCGTGCTTTTAGCGAGAAACACGAGCGTGAGCTACCAATAATAAAACGTCGCGTGGTTTCCCCGTAACGGTATTGTACTCGATGATCGTTTCCTTGCTCGCGATTATTTATTTATGTAGGCGCTAACTAATGGAAGGAGGAGCAAAGATATAGCTTTTTCGATTTGAAAAATAATTAGAAATGTTTATTGAGCGTTGACGATTCAATTGCGATTTGATCTGAGGATCAACAAAATGCGGAATAATTTTTTGAACTACATGCACGTGCTTGCTCTTTAATTGAGGCTTTTGCAATACATAATTTGCACGACAGGTACGATTTTGTGTCCGATTGGAGAAGTGCATTAGTTTACATTTGTAAATGCCAATCATTTTATTGATGTAAAATTAGTTATGTAAAGAATGGATTGCACTGGCATAGACATTTGTGGATATTGGAAAAACGGAAAACTTCAAGGCATCGGCTAGTATGTTTGACTGATAAAGTATTTCTTAGCAATTTCTGATAATATTAAAAAAATGACTAATTGAAACGAAATTGATATACTGATCACTGTAAATCTATGGGTTGACTAATCAACAACTGAGTCATAACAAATGGAGCAACTACAATCACGAACAGTGCTCCAAATTTAAGCAAAAAAAACGATTAACCCTTCGAGGTTATCCTTCTGAATTCGGAAACACTCGTATCCTCCCAAATCCTGCGACTCCAAGTCAATTACTTTTTTATGGATTATCGTACTTTAATGGGTTCTCGCCAATATTACGACGGCATCCTTTAAGTAATTGATTCTTTTCTTTGGAAGGATCTTATTCAGTCATATTAGCCGGTGCAAAAAAAAATTCTTACCTCAAATAAGTATATAAATGTACTCACACGTACAAGTGTGTCACCCTTGGCAATCAGCTGATCACACCAGCGCGATCCCTTGTATCCACTTTTAGTACTGACAAATTCGAATGACACTTTGTCGTATTTACAAATTATTTAAAGATGAACGAAGCACTTATTGGAAGAGGAGAAGCGCGGGAGTGCGAGCTTGTTCTGTCGCTGACCACACCGCAAAGAGCGCGACAATCAATCAGAAACGAAGAGAGAGCGGCCTCGTGTCGAGTCTTCATAATGTTCCTTCCTTTTTCCTTATCCTCTTTTACGCGCCTGCGTAACACACGTGTCTGCAGATATCTACTTTGCCGACTGCGTGACGGAATAATATTCAATAATAATCTCGTGAAAGTCAAATAACTCCTTGAATTCGTATCGATCTCTATTTGTTTCTGATTACCGTGAGCTGGCTGATTTATTGTTGACGTTTCGACATCGTGATAATTAAATGATAATGCACCGGATACTCGTGACTGCATAGAACGAGTGATTTGTTGAATCGTATTTAATTGTTGAAAGTTTATCGGTAAGTTTTTTGGTTTTTTTTTAATAACTTAAAGATTTTGAATTGTTGAATCCATTGTTACAATGTTTACGAATGTTTGAGATTTTTCATTATTTCGAATATCTCAAGCACGCTACAACTTAACCTTCAAAACAAGTTTATTGTTTAGTTAACTTATTATTTCGAAGATAAAAATGATGTTTCATTGATTTGTATTCTTATTTTGTTTTGATAATTCTTTAGTTTTATTGTTTATTTTTCATTTCCTGTAAAAATCTAAAATCTCGACGAGTACCTCTTATTTAATGTGAAGATAGCCCTGCAAATATCTTTTGCTGGACACTTATCTATGATTATGAAATAGTTGTTTGCCCATTTCACAAAATGGTCAAAGTAACTATACATCATTATTGTGGTGACTGAGGTTTCCTTTCTGCTTTGTGTCCCAACCAAGTTTTGATGCATAACGTTATAGTAGTCTCATTTTTTTCAGGTAATAATGGGTAAACTAGAACTGCAACAAAGCCTGGTTGGACACAAAGGCAGAGTATGGAATGTTTGCTGGCACCCTGCTGGTGAGTCGCTTGCCTCTTGTGGAGAGGATAAGACCATCAGAATTTATATGCATGACAAGTCAAAATGGACGATAAAAACCATTTTAACAGAGGGTCATACTAGAACAATAAGAGAAGTGTCTTGGTCGCCTTGTGGCAATTACATTGCTTCTGCAAGCTTTGATGCAACGGTTGCAATTTGGGATCAAAAATCAGGGCAATTTGAATGTAATACTACCTTGGAAGGTCATGAGAATGAAGTAAAAAGTGTTAGTTGGTCTGCTAGTGGCCAATTGTTGGCAACATGCAGTAGAGACAAATCTGTCTGGGTTTGGGAAATACAGGATGAAGAATATGAATGTGCTGCTGTCATAAATGCCCACACTCAAGATGTCAAAAAGGTATACTTATTCATATTTTAAAATATTGAATCTGATTTAATCTAACAGTGTTTTCATAAATTTTATTATTATTCAAATTGGTAGGTGCGGTGGCACCCACAGAAGGACATTTTGGCCTCAGCAAGTTATGACGACTCAGTAAAGATCTTCAAAGAGGACACAGCGAGCAGTGACTGGATATGCGTGTCAACCTTGAATTCGCACGCATCGACAGTTTGGAGCTTAGCATTTGACGCTAGTGGAAACCGACTTGTAACGTGTAGCGACGATAAAACACTGAAGATTTGGCAGCAATATGAGCCAGGCAACGAAATGGGGATCGAGACGCCAGACAACGAACCTGTCTGGAAATGCGTCTGCACGTTGTCGGGCTTCCACTCGCGAACCATTTACGACGTGGACTGGTGTAAGAAAACGGGTTTAATTGTAACGGCTTGCGGCGACGACATTGTACGCGTATTCCGCGAAGATAGCGATTCCGACAAGCATCAGCCGTCTTTTAGTCTTGTGTGCACGATGGACAACGCGCACACTCAGGACGTTAATTGCTCGCAGTGGAATCCATGCGTGTCTGGTGTCATTGCCTCCTGCAGCGATGACGGAAGTGTCAAAGTTTGGCAATATAGCGACGACTAATTTATGTAAAAAAACTCTGTATATTTGGAGAACATATATTTTATTGTTATTTTCTATACCGAACTTGTACTTTAGTTTCATTTCACAACCCTCGCTCTCACTCCTTATCTACCAATTCAAAATTTATCGAAGAAACTTTTAGGAAATCACAATATTCGTTGTTTCAGGTGGAACGTTAAATGTTGGCCAGTCTCTCGCGAACACTGCAACGTCAACTTTCTCCAATTCAAGCGCTAAACATGAGCAGTTTTTTGATAGAAGGAGTACCATTGAAACAGGTGGTTGACGCTTTAGTGTCTTTCGCCGACACTTCGTTGGCAGCATCGTGGGACAATGTTGGATTGCTGATTGAGCCAAGTGAACCGCGGAACATTACTCACGTTTTATTGACAAATGACTTGACGGAGGACGTGATGCAAGAGGCAGTCGAGCGTGAAATTGACATGATTGTCTCGTATCACCCGCCAATATTTGCTCCTTTAAAGTCCGTCACCACGAAGACGTGGAAGGTACATTTCCGGAATACGTGTGTTGAAATTTCAATTTGTATTGACCATTGCATAACGTCTATGAAAATGAAAAAAATTGCAGGAACGTGTTATCGCCATGTGCCTCGAGAAGAGAATAGCACTGTACTCCCCGCATACGTCCTTCGACTCGATTCACGGCGGAGTCAACGATTGGCTTGCTTCGGCTTTCAATTTTAAGAAAATCCGTCCGATCGAACCTAGCGATGATCCACGAAATGGTATGGGAAGGATCCTCGTGCTAAAAGAGGAAATAAGTGTCGACAAAGCGGTACAGTTGATCAAGAATCACACTGGCTTAAGTCACGTTCGTTTGGCTCGCGCTAAGAGCAACAGTAAGCTTCGTGTATTACTCTGGTAATCTTTGTATCGAAAGTTAATGTAATAATTTGTCTTTTCACGTTGCAGGCGATTCGATAAGCACAGTGGGTTTGTGTGCCGGCTCAGGTGCTTCCGTTCTGAAGGGTTTATCGACCGATCTGTACGTGACCGGTGAAATGTTGCATCACGACGTCCTCGACGCCGTTCACCAGGGAACCAGTGTCATACTAACTAATCACTCAGATTCGGAGCGTGGCTTTCTCACTATCTTTGCCAATGAATTGACTAGGCGACTCAAAAATATTGTTCTCGTCAGTGTCTCGGAGAGAGATGAGGATCCACTTAAGATCGTTTGAATCCATTGAGTTTTCATTCACAGCGAAGTTTTCACGTTGAAATAAAAAAATCAAAGAGAAAATATCTGGTTTTTAAATTTTAAAAATAACTTTCTTGGCGCGTGGTAAAAAAATGTTGTATCTATTCAACAATATGATAAACAAGAGTAACCATAAATTACTTGCCAGCTCTTGAATTATAGCTGAAATGCATCTGTTTAAAAAATTAGCAATTTTTCAAATAGCATATCAACGGGGTAAAAATAAATATCGTTCCAAACATAAATTTCCTGCAAGCACAAGAAGCAAAACAAAGCAAAAATTGTGGACGTCCCAACAGACCAATTAACCGCCTCGAAAAGAGAAACGATCCGAGCAAGTCGCAATCGTCGGGCCATCTAAATAACTCTTGCCAGTAAAGTTTTTACGGAGAGAGAGAGAGAGAGAGAGAGAGACGCATGGTAGCACACTCGGCGAAGCGAAGGTCCAGCCGGAACACGAATGCCCCTTCCAACGCAGTGTCCCGAGGAACGTTTGGCCAGCCAGATCTTTCTCTCTCTCTCTCTGTGCTGTATATATATATATGTATATATATATATATATATATATATATATATATATATATATATATATATATATATATATATATATATATATATATATACATCCACGCGAATGCAACTCTGTCGTGAGAGAGTTTATTGTTGTGCTGCTCGACGCCTCGTGCGCTCGCGCGAGAATCGATCCGTCTGTGTGTGTGCGTGGAAAGTTGTGATTTGCTCTGTCGAGAAGGAGAGAGAACGAGGGAAAAAAACGAGAGATTCGCCGTCACAGTGTAACGGTTGTACGAGTGCCCGCTTGCGCGCGACTTGCCGCTGATTCATTGAAACGCTGTTTGCTGGCGCGATTAGAGCCGTCCCCGCGACACCATTGCTGGGATTTTCAAACGCGAGCAAGCTCCACGCTGGCGACTGAAGCGTGTGCTTTCAAGCGGAGTCGGCGACGATCGCGTTACTCGCGCTTGCCGTTAGGGCGTCGATGCGCCAACGAAACGAGCGACCACGATCGCGCCCAGGCGGAGAAGCGAAGATCACGAATGCCGCGCGCAGAGGTCTCGGCGAGGGACGCCCCCGATCGCGAGGAGACCGAGCGCCGCATACGAACTGCCGCTCCGCTCGCCGCGGACTTTCACCGGTGCGGCGCGCTGACGCTTCACCTGCGAACCCAATTGGAAATGGTCTCGGGCGCCGGATATTAATTGGGCGGCGATCGGCGCGGCGGCGCGATTCGGAGCGCCGCGTCGCGGAGCGGCTCTCGGTCTCCCACCAGCCTGTCCGCCGCGCTCGAGCGAGAAGCAGCTGCAGCAGCGGCAGCGGCAGCGGCTCCGCCGAGACAATCGGCTCGTGAAATTCTCCCGGGAGAGCCGTCTGTCTCTCTGAGGCGCGCGCGCGCGCGGACGCTCGCTCGTGCACTGACCCAGCCAGACTTTCAACGCTCTCCGGTGCGCACGCACGCGCGACGCCTTATACGGCCGGTGCGCGCACCACCGCGGCTTAGTAGCCTCCAAACCTCGCGCGACGCACCCTCGGACTCGCTAGTGTTCGCCCGTGCCGGGAGCCGGAAGCTGTGCCCACGACTGCGCTCTCTTCTCGACTTTTGGTAAGGACACTCCGCTCTTCTCTTCTCGCCTGTCCGTGGCGCGCGAGTGCTACTCTTTAAGGTCGAGTGCGCGCGAGTGCAAATCTCGCGCTCGACGTTTTGTAATCGCGATGCTCGCAACGCACTCGGCGAAGGCCTTCGGAAGCCAAGGAACGCTCGTTCGAGGCGAGCGACGCCGAGGTGAAGCAGCCGAAGAAGAAAGAAAACGAAGGTCCTCGGTCGCGTTGCGCGCGTACGTGACTCACCCTGAAAGTGCAGAACCTTTGTGTTACCGGTTTCAGGAGGAAGCATAAATTAGCGCGAGGCACGCGCGCGGCCGCCCTTTCACTCTCGCGGGTGCGCACGGCGCGAGCCGCCTTCGGTTTTCGGGGCCCGCGTCGGAGCGTCGATCCGCGCAGCCTTGGCTGCAGCCGACGCGCGGTCCACAGAGCTGCCACGTGAATCACGCGCGAGTGACGATCGCTTTTCCGGAATACCGCGAGACCAAGCGGCGACCGAGCGCTCGGTCATTCGGCGCACGTGCGCTGTCGGAACAAACCGCTTACTACGTATCGCCGCCTGCTCCGTTTGTCGGAACACGGCAATGCCGCATTGAATAATGCAAGCTCGCCGATGAAAAGTCGCGGCCGTGCTTTTCTTTCTCGCCTCTGGCAACTTTCAGGCTTTATGAATTTTAATGGATTCCCAAGTGTGTGTGCTTAGCCAATTCCTCTGAATAATTATTTCAAGGTTGTGCGTCGCGCCTATCCTGCTCTCTCTCTCTCTCTATTTTTTCACCGCTAGAAATCTCAAGCGATCGCGGTATTTGGCGTACGTCTGCGCGTTACGTTGCTCTCGCGAGCTACAGTTGGGCGTCTCGGAGTCGGTCCTGCCGAATATCGTAACTTGTTTTGGCCGCGCGGAGAGCAAAGGCAATGCTCCCGCAGCGAGACTCTCGCGCGGGCGGCGCCCTTTTCTGTTTTCTCTTTTCTTCTCGTTTTCGTGCGTTCCGTCTCGGCGCTTGCCACAGCGGTTGCGCGGGCGACGACGCGCCGCTTCCTGCTTGCGTAACGCGCGCCCGCGACACGCGACGATATCGGACTCCTTTCGTTCGGCGCGTCGTGGGCGCGGGCCGAGGGGAGGGGGTACCGTGGTATCGCCAGCACCGCCGACCAATAAATCATCGCGGCAACGAGAAATTGCGAGCGCTGATAAAGTCGATACTCTCGATCATCTTTAAAAATACCTCGGGTGCGAGCAGGCGGACACGCCGATTGTGACCTCATCGAGCCGTATATAGCTGGCCGATCGCCGCCGAGCAGTGGGAAACGAGGCGCGTTTGAAAAGCTGCGCGCCGCTGGATATTTCGCGCGCCAACAGCCGGACTTAGCGGCGAGTCGCGAGTCGGTCGATGGGCGCGCGCGCGTCAAGCCGACGGAAGAGCGGCGCGAGCATCCGTTAGCGGCTTGTTATCCCCGCTGCGCGCTCTTTGCTCCATTTATGCGAGAGGGATTCGTAACGGGAGAGAGGAAGAGAGAGTCGGTTGGCATATATATATACGTAACGAGTTATCTGGCAGCTGCCGACTCGGCGCACCTCGCTCCTTACGATCGATTGCGTAGGCAATCCGGGATGGAAATTTAGATCGAAGACCTTCCGCCTGGCGAGCGCGAGCGGAGACGTCGCTTTCGCGTGGCGACCGAGCTCTTACGACGATTTCGTGTCGCGCGGACGCGGAAGCAGCAGCTCATCGACGTGGCGGCCCGTGAAATCGAGCAAAAACAACAGCGACGTGCGATCCGAGCGATGACCCTGGCCTCGAACGCGTCACTGTGCGATTCCCATCGCGCCGCGTGATAATAAGCAATAAGAGCGCGCGGCAACGAGGGAAAGCCCGCGAGAAGCTTTTCACCGAGACGCGGCTCTCTCGCGGCGTCGTCTACGTTACGCCGCGGTCGCATTGTGCCGCGCTCTCTTTAATTAATGCGAGGCATCGGCGCAAAGGGGAAAGCGCGTGCGCGCGTAATTAATCGTTGGATCGGAATTCCAAAAGAAAGGAGATCGATATACGTAGGGATGCGCTCGCTCGTACGAGAGAGACAGAGAGGAGCTCGTCCTTGAATCCACCCACTCGAACCACCGTGCAGCCGGTCTACAGAGAGAAAAACATTCTCAAGGCGACCCGCCAGCGGCTACCGATTGGCGATCTTTCCGCGCTAAGGTGCCCCGCGCTCTCGGAGTGTCTAGCGATCCTCGGCTTCCGCGTCGTCGAGAAAGGCTGTCTAATTGGCCGGCTCTCGCTTTCTCTCCCGTCAGAGACAAATCGCGCGCTCGCGGCACCGCCGGCACACGCACGCGTGCCGTTGCACCAGTTTTCGAACAATGGCACGCTCGTCAATCCGAATTCCTCCGAGTTCGTTTCTCTTCCGCCGTTGCCCGCGTGGATTTCCCTATCTCGACTGACGCAACTGTAGCACTCGCAGTGCTTTTGCGAGCAAAAGAGAATGAAAAAAGAACAAAAGTCGCTAATTTTCGCTTGCTTATTTCAGCCAAAATGAAGCGGAAAGCCTGAGACGAAACGCAAGGAAAAAGAAGAATGGAGCTGGTCTTGTCGGCGGGTGGTGGAGCCGGCGACGCAGGCTCGCCGTTTCGGAACGAGGACGTGCGCGAGTGGTCGCGGATCGACCACGTCACTGGCATGCTGGAGCGAGCGCGCGTGGAAACTGACCGCTGGCAGGCCGACAGTCATGACGCCAAGCAGTCTTACGGCAAGGTGCGATTTGTGCAATGTCTCGCCATTGTCCTGCTCTCTCTCTCTCTCTCTCTCTCTCTCTCTCTCTCTCTCTCTCTCTCTCTCTCTCTCTCTCTCTCTCTCTGTCTGTTGCGCTTTGTCTTGCGCAATGCAATTTTTTTGCCTCTTTCTCCTGCGTTCGCTCGATGCTCAACAGAAATTTAACGGGGAAAAGTGCAGGTCGACTTCTTCGCGATTTCTTTGCGCCTTGTAGCGAAAACCGCGAAGGCTATCTCTCGGAGAAGACACCGGTTACGGAGCGATAACGATTGATCGCGAGCCATCCCGCTGAGAATCAGCGTCCAGCTTAGCCAGTGCGAGAGGCGCGCGACAGGGCGAACGAGGCGTCGCAGGAGGCGAGAAAGAAAGAAAAATGAAAGAAATCGACGGGCGCGCAAGAGCGAGTCGGCGACGGCACTGTTGCTCGATTCGGCGGCGCGGACGCTTATTTGGCTCAGTGTGGCGCGCGATGTCGCGTCAGCCTATCGACAGCCCGTCTCGCTGACTTGGCCGTCGGTCGCGTCGACCCAAATAGCCGCGGACACGCGCACCCGCGCGCAGTGTGGGCGCGAGCCTTCGCGACTGGACACCTGCCCCGCTGACGTTCGCCACGCGCGAATCGTCGCGCGACTCCCGATCGCGAGGCGCGCGCATCCTCGCTAGCGACGGTGCGCAAGCCTCGACAGTCGGTAGTTGGCGCGCGACGCCTTATCCGGCGACACCAGGCCGCCGTCTCGTTGTGCAACTCGCGTGCATTATTAGACGCAGCCTCGCGGCGGCTGGCGCGCGACTTATTGGGAGGATGGAGGGAGGCGCGCTCGCTCGGCTGTGCCTGAGAGCGCTCGCGTGCGCGCGGAATTGATTGCAGATGACCGACTCGAGAGTGCGAAACTCGGCGGACGGCAGCCTGGTCCAGAAGGCTCGACGCCAGGTCGAGATATTCCAGAGCCGAGGCAACGGCGGCAGAAATCTCCAGGTGGTGCGCGCCTCGCAGTGGTCCTCCTCCAGAGCCACCGACTGCGCTCTGCAGCTGGCTTCCACGCTCGATGTAAGTCTCTCGCCCGCCTGCCGGTCGCGCAACGATTATCTCCGATCGCACGCTGGTCCGCAGCAGCGCGCTCGGTGCATCGGTGACGACGACGACGACAACGACGACGACGACGACGCTATGAGCGCCGACCCGACGCTCAACTCGGCTCGGCTGAATCTGTGGCGAGACGCGGCGGTATCGGACCTCGACCGGCTGTCCTACCTCTGCCGCAAGCTGCACCACGAGGCGATGAGTAACGCCGGCTTTTGGCCGCTCGACGCCGCTGTCCGGCGCACCCCTTCACCCGCGCCGCACGCGAGCACCGACGACGGCCTCGGCGGTAGATTGTCGCCGAGCGGGCGGCGCAGCAACTCCAACGAGGACCTATTCAGTCTACTGTCTAACGGCGACGAGGCGTTCGCGAGGGACTGCAAGACGCGCCGGTCGCTGCAGATCCCGGAGAACGCCGAGGACAAAGCCGAGAGCAAGGCGAGGAGGTGCCGAGCGCAGCTGATCGCCGAGCGGGCCAAGAGATTCGAGGAGGGTGTCGTGGCGACGGACCACGCGGCCAAAAAGAGCTTCGTCGGCAGCAAGACTTTTGCGCCTATCGCTGACAACGATTTCGTCAAGAACGATCCCAAACATCCGTCCAAGTTCCATCAGATCGCCAAGATTTCCTTTCAGGACAGTGGTGAGTTTCCACTCCGTAGCCATTTTCAGTTTGCGATCGTCCTGCCGAGCTGTCGCTAGATCGGGCAGCCAAATTTTAACCAGAGTACGAAACGATGTCGCGCCAAATTGCAGCTCAGAGCGGTGCGTCGCCGCCACAGTCGGCAACTCGCAAAGCCAACAACAAGACGGTGGTGCACTTGCGAAACACCGCCTCGCCGGACGCGCAATCGCATCCGCGCTGCGTCAACGTCACGGCAATCAAACTGGAAAAGGACGCTGAAGAGAACGGCACGACTTACAATAGACTGATGGACGCGACGACGACGTTGGTCAACGGAGCAAAACCCGTGAAGAAGGTGGAGTTTTGCAAAACGGAGATACATTTTGCTGCTGATTCTGGCAAGGTGAACATCGTCGAGACGGACGGCAAGCCGCCGCCGACCAATAAATTTCGCAGACGTCGACGGAATCATAGCTTGAATTCGGCGATCAACGTCAATCCACAGGTGTGTAAAAGCGTATGGTTAGCGCGCGTGACGCTGCTGGAATGGACACGTGAGAAATTGCAAAAAAAAATATGTAGAAAAGCAAGCTGCCGGTGGTGCACTTCGGCGACACGTCTTACGAAAAGTACATATTCGGCGGCGGCAAAGTGCCGCTAGCAGCAGCAGCAGCAGCAGCAGCAGCAGCAGCAGCAGCAGCCTCGCAAAACGAGAACGACAAGACTGACAGTCCGGCCCTCGCGAACGAGGACAACCAGAACGGCTGGCACTGCGCTCCGCGAGACGCCAAGGAAATCGTGACGAAGATCGATTCCTTCACGGATACTAGTCTGGACAAAGTGATGGAACACGTCGGCAAGTTCCGGTCCGGCGCACACACGACCACCGTGAATTTCCTCAGCGACGAGAGCAAAGCTCTGGCGACAGTTGCCGAAGGTACGAGTCTGGTTCGGTTTTCGCGTGGGCGCCGATCAGTGCAACGCATCGCGCGCGTCGGCTCGGCTGGGCGTGTTACGACAGCTACGCCGATGCGCATGGATCGCGCGCGAGAAGCTACAGCGTTAAATTCCAATGATCTCGACCTGCGATTGCGCAACGAGTGCTCGCGGGTAAAGAACGAACGGACAAAAAGAAAAGAAAAAAACAAGCAACATCGCGTTCGCTAACACACGCGCTCGAGGCGACGACCTACTAACCGATCACTCGCACGCACACTCACCCATCGAACCAGCCCAGAGAGCGCAAACAATCAAACGCAATTCCAGGCAAGCCGGAGATTCGGCTTCAGTTCGCGAGCCGAAGCTTGAGTCCGGTCCATGCCGACTGTGGCGGCAGCGACGACGAGCAGCGAGTCATACGCACCACCAAAATCACGCTGCACCTGCCGGCACCGATGGCTCGCCAGCCTTTGAATAATCCATTCAGCAATTTGAAATCCGTGCGACTGGTCATGAACACCATGACTGCCAGTCGGCTGCTCGACACCTTTTACAACGGTACTCGTCCTCAAGCTCGTCAACCAGGCGAGCTGTGGTCGTTGAGATTGGGGGACAAGGACAAGGACGTTGACGCAGCCACTGGGATTTTAGACGAGTCGCGAATGATCGAGGGTATAGTGAAATAGGACATTGCACATACATATGTACATATCTTCATTAACATTTGTCACTCATCGCACGCTAATCTTTTGCTCGTCTAAAACTAAACCAGTCCGCGGGAGATCGTTTTGCCCGAACAGCTGCTGCTCGTTACTGTCGTCGTGTTCCGTCGACGACTGAACCTTTTGCGTATCGTTTGTTTAGACAAGCCAAGCGGTGCCTTCGGCGCGCCTCCTGCATCGCAACCGAGCAGCCAGCTGTTGCCGAAGAACGCGGATCAAGTTCTTCTGAAAGTCGTGACGACGCACAAGCCGACAGTCGCGAGGGTCGACGAGCAGCCGCCTGTAAAAGCGAGCAGACTGAAGAACCAGACGGACGAGGAAAAAGTGAAGAGTCACCAGATCGATGACGTCCAAGCCAAAGAGCACTGTGATAAGCCGAGCAACGCGGACGACGAGCCGCCCGTTTATGAGAACATATTCGACGCCGTCAGTGACGGAGCTCCGCTCTACGAGAACTTCCATCGGGTCGTCAAAACGGTTCCCGCTGCCGTCGACGACGAGATCGAGGAGCTACTGCAAAAACCGGCTATAGGTGGTTCGCACGGACAAGTCGTGCCGAAAATCGAGGGTAGTAGGAAGGTGAGAAGCACGAGATCGATTACGCCGAGGAGCGAGAAGGACAGATCGGACTCTCGATCGAGGGATGATTCGGTAAAAAGGCGTAAGGAGGGCAAGTTGATGAAGGACGACGGTACGAGAAGTTCGCAAACAAAAAGGAGCTACGCGTCATTACAGATGCGCAAGGGTACACCGACGAATCTCATCACTGATAAAAGCACTCTCAAGTACGTTTTGCAAAGCAATCGATTACTCCGTATTCGAAAAGGGATGTCGTTAATAGGCGGCTTACTTTTTATTTCTTTTTTTAGGACGAAAAAACCAATAGAGGTTGTGTACAAAACTGCAGTCTACAATATGAAGAATGAAAAGTTGTCGATGCCGAGCACCAAGTCAAAGGAAACGAAGGGGCCACGACTGATAAACGAACTGATATGTGGCACCAAACTGAAGAAGCCATCCGACGGTAAAAAAATAATCAAAAGTACGTTTCATTTTTCATGCATCATTTATTTAAACTCTAAATTTCGGTTATAAATCACAAATCTGTCGAATTGGTTTCAGCAGCTGCAGTGTCGCAAAGTAACAGCAAGAAAAAAAAAACGTCTAACACAGTGAACAGGTGAGAAATTGGTCTACATGCACGTTCGAAGCACATACATTTCAAGATTGAGAGTTATTGGAGTTTCTTTTTGTTTCAGATAATGAATGTACCAGTAGACAATAACAACTTTCTTTTTTACATTTACGCTCTTTTTTTATACCGTTTATCGTTGAATTTTGATACTAATTTTTAAGTAGTAAGCGGAATAATAGTTCCTCTTTCTCGACTTTTTTTACTATACGAAGAACCTGTCAATTTTAACTCTACTCTGCCATCCTGACTGAAATAAACGTACTTATATAACGATAATATTTCTTAAGTGACCTTTACCTATAAATATTTTTTGATACGAATGAACATTTATTAAATTTATGAATAAAGGATGTATTATAAGTACGAAATAATTAGGAAAGTATTTTTTTATCACCTTATTATCTTAATACAGTATACATACATGATTGAATTATAATGTAAGTTGAATGCAACAATGAACTTACAGTTCATTAAAAGTTAGATTTCTTTTGTACTTAAAATTAAAAGAATGAGTAGTATCATTGGAGCATAATCTAATTATAATACAAAATTAAGAAATTAGTACTCTGAAACAAAGTTATTATCAAACGCGAACAAATATGCTTAAATTAATAATCTGTAAAAGTGAATAAGTAAGAAAATTAAAAAAAAAAAACAAATGTGCCTTTGTAGAATACAAACGCAGTCTAAATATATTTATACAATTGTGCTTTTGATGTACCAATGATTTTGTATCCAAAATCAAAAACTAAACAAGTCACAATAAAAAATAGTGTCAAATATTTAAAGCGAATTATTATGGTCCAATCGAGGTCTTTTACTACGGGATTCTTCAGGTGAGTCTCCATTCACTGATAATAGGTCACGTTTTCTTTCTGCATTCTAGAATAAGAAATTAATTCATAGCAAACGATGAGATAAAATAATTTGTATAATCAATTGATTTTCATTCTTTAAATACCTTTTTGTCCCATCTTTGATGAAGGTACCTTAAAACTATAGTGGTTTTTTCCGTTACAATAACTGAAAAATCAATGGTTATTGTTAATTTTAACATAAATCTAAAAGATTTACTAGTGATTGAGTTGTTTAGAGAAATAAATTTTCCACTACTATGGATTCTTTTGAACACTATTGCTTTCTTTATCATTGTACTATTTTGGAAATATGATTAATTTCCCTTATCAATTAAAAGTCATAATCACAATACAAATAAATCTTGAGTAACCTGACTACAGATCATAACCAAAGTCAAATGATTTTTGTTTACTTTTATATGAATTTTTTTTAATATTTGTAACCTTGTATCTTTTCAGTAACTCCATCTCACAAGTGTAAAGTAAACTAAATAAGAATCTGCTGAATGTTAACATTTGCTATTCATTTTTGACAATTTTTGAAACAATACAATTATAAATAAAATAATAATGCTCAAGAAATCATATATAGTAGTATAAAACTTATTTTTGTAAATTACTCAATCACTGGTAAATCATATTATAATTGAGAAACATGAAAAATACATCTACACAAATAAATCTATAAAATAAATGAAAATTAATGAAAATTATCATTTAACAAACTAAAATTATACCTTGTTCAGATGGATATTCCTTAGTAGGAAGATACACTGATGGTCTCTTAACACAGGTTCTGTTTCCATTATCCGTGTGAAAATTAGCAAAATTGTTCTCATTGATGGAAGGTAACCCATTCAAGAATTCTGCTACAGACTGTAAGATACGATTTAACTAGATTACTGTTAATATAGAAAGAAAAATAATCACGAATTGTCGAGCGCTGAAAGTTCTAAATTTTCAAGTCAATCTGCAAAAGTTATTTCAATGCAAACCCTGAATCGATTAAAATTTTAATTTAATTTAAATACTTTAAAAAATTGAATGCAGCATAAATCATAAATGAAACCAAATGAATAAATGTGTCCTTGCCTAACCTATAAATGTAAAAACATGTTGTGATAGATCATAACTTTTACTTACCATTGCGGATTGTTTTTGGTGAGCTGAAAGCTCAAGAAAACTATAGTAGAAATATGCAATTAAAAAACGTATTGATTCCTAAATTTTTAAGGAAATAAGAAAATATTAGCTTTTTCTAGGTGCGAACCAAACAATTTTCATCCGACTACTAATCTCATATCACTATTACAGAAAAGTAATACTACACTATCTATAAATATAGTTAAGTAAACTCTTCAAGAGGGCGCTGCGATCAGTAAATATTTTTTGTACCTGCTAATTATATTAAAATATAATTATTGTTAAGTTATCAGTCAAGTTTTATTTGAAAAAAGATATAGTGATTTTTCTTTCATTTTTTTATTGTTGTATAAAACCTAATTAAGCAATCCTTTTTCTACAGATCAATTAAAATGCAAACTATTTTAATTCTTTTAAATGTGAGTCTGAAATACATACAATTCTTCTGTTCAAAGAAATTGAAGATATTTAAGGTTTTTATTCAACAGATCAATTTGCATTTTTAATAACTGTACTCGCATTGGTTAAATTGTAGCCCTACCACCCAGGTAGCACGAATACTTTCTCTGACGTCGCTACGACGTCGCTTTCCAACTTTTCCAACTTTTGAAGTCGATATTCAGCGACGTCCATGCGACGTCAGAGAAACGAAATTTGTCCCGGTATTTTGCACGGCTGTAGCCTATTTCCGACATTTGAATGAAACGATAATGAAATATGTAGAGCAATTGGAAAGTTTTTAACAAATAATAAACAGTTGTAATTTTCGATATTTTATTATATTTTGAATTGCCGTACATTACATATTACATTTTAATAAAAATTTTAATTACATTTTTATTTTGAAATGATTCACTGGTCGGCTGCACGTGAATTATCGTTGTTACCGACAACAGGTAGAATAGCTGCCGAACCTCTGATCTTTTCAAGTCGTCGTTTTTCGTCTTGAATATATTTTCCGCGGCCACTTTTCCACTTCCTACCACTCTCGATAGCTTTTCTTAAAGGATATTGGTGCTTCCATTGAACCACCGCTGAAAAATAAAAATTTTATTTTTAATTATTTTTAAATGAATTTTATTTTGAATGCATTAGAAGAGAATGACAAATTAAGGCTCCGGGTAATGGGGAGCGAATAATTAAATTTGAAGCCACCTATTTTGAGCCGGATTTTCGCAAACAATAAAAAAATCAACTATTGTTTCGAGCCGTCATTTATGTTGATGTTTATGACGAAAACTAATGTTAATGTGCCTCATAACCCAAACTGACAGTTATTTTTTGCAAGGAAAATGAAGAAGCTCCGTGATTAATTAGTCGCACTTTAGTTATCACATACATCCATTCATCTATTACAAACTGTTCAAACATGAATATTCAATTGTTAAGCAAACCATTAGAAATTTTTCCATTTAAAATTATTTAAAAATTTGGTGTATTATATGCAAGTGTGAACCGTGACGTTAATGACTATATAAGTAACTTTACCTGCAATTTTTTTCCAGAACATTTTATTCTGGATTGCTATTTTGCCAGCTCCATTACCGCTCATAGTGAGTCGTTCTTTTGCAAAACGATGATCTAAAACGACACTTAAACAGCGCCAAATGCTGTTATGACCGCTGATTAATAAATTTTTTTTCATCAGCATAACCTGGAATAATAACAAATAAGAAAGTCTGAATATAAACTAAAAATAATTAAAAAATAAAGATTCGTTAATAAATTTAAAAGAAACATACAAACTCGGTCCGTTTTTGAGGCAGCCGCAACAGATCAGCCTCAAACTGACGCAATTCACCTTCACTTTTCAACGGAAGCTCGGGAAAATCATTATCGCTATTTTCGGTTGATTTAGATTGTAGAGCTTTTATTTTCGCCTTCAACAGTTGAAGCCTCTCTGTTAATCTTACGCTTCTCTTGCGCTCCACCTCTGAAAAAAAGTCAGTATAACAATCATTAAAATCAATTTTAATAGATTAAATTTTTATAAAATGTAAATGTTTCTTCATACTAATTGCATATAACAATATTGGCTTGATTGCCTCTTCTAGCTTTGTTTCGTCTGCTGAAATGAAATACAGCATCATTTCATAGAACCTCTTGCGATTACTAGTGCTGCAGTTTGATGGACAGCGAATCTGTTGGCAAGAGCGAGGACTTTCGCTGTTCGACGTTAACGGCATCGAATGGTGAGATGCGTCGGAACTGTTGTCTTTGTAGGGAAAGGATGCCGACAATCCACTGGATGGCAATGCTGAGGTTGTAGCTCGCTCGCCTGTAAACCAAAAGTAAAAAATTTATAGGCAGCATTGATTGAGAAGAAAATAAAACGGCATTGAATTTGAAATGATTATATTGACGCGCGAATCTTTACTGGAAGTATCGAGAGCAAACGTTGCTGTGATGTTGCGTTTCTCAACTTGGCGGCTCGTTGGTTCGCTAGTTCGCGCCTTCTTTTGTGGCAGCTGCTGGTACTCTGGTTCGCTGGGTGAACGAGAGTTGACAGACATAGTCGCATCCCCTTCGGTGATGTCTATAGCCGGCGCGAGGATGGTCGGCTGCTGCTCGCTGTTCTCAGTAACGAAGTCTGAAAAAAAGTGAAATATATTGCAAGTACTCTGTAGGATGTATATTATTCAAATGAATTTGACCAATGAACATTGACAATTGTACGACAAACTTGTGAACGTGAAATAACAATTATTATTTATGTACGTAAGACATTGATGCGCGTATTTAATGTATTTAGTTTTCTCTGCTATAAAACTGTTGTACAATGCGTGCTGTTATTTTTTTTCAACTTGAAACGGATATACGAGGACTTTTATAATTAAATGGAAGCGGGATCGGGTTGTTGACGAAACCATTCACGCGCTACTGATTAAAGTAAAGTAAACCGAGCTTTAAAATATCCATCCGTAAAATTTTGTGTACGCGAGGATACTGGCAGACAAGCACGCGTTGATGAGAAGAAAAAATGAGCCGAATCTTTTCCTCGTTTCTTTGGTTTTTTACCGTCGGATTCGAATTAAAATATCCGATGGAAAATTTGCGAGTGAAAACGAATGAAAAATTATCTGTCGAACTTTTACATGTTTTTAATTATTATCTAGTGATGAAAAAATTGAAAGAATTCATGATAGTCAAAAACAGTATAAAACACTTACATGATTGTTTAGTTATACTTGCTACCCTAATGCATTTCCAGGCTTTATCGTCGACTTCGTCCAGATCCATGAGGCAGTCTTTGTACTTGCTGTCCGGCAAGTAGCATATCACGTAACCGGGTGCCAACTGCCGCAACCACTTTGTGCACACCATGACATTTTCATATTTGTACTGCCCTCCCGGTGCTTTACAAAGCTTGACCATTGTAAAAATTTTCGACTTATCCAGGTTTTCAAAATCCATTGCGATAAACTAACAAAATGCACAATCACAATCGCAAGTGTCCAACTTTTCCGGCCGAAGTCCAACTGCTTCTGTGTACTATGCTCGATATAGTGCGGCACGCGAACTGAGCCAGACTAAAGCTCATTCGGGCCCCGACGGCGTGAAAAAGGACTGCAGAGCAGTGGCCAGCGCGCCCTCATTTGACGACCAGAGGGGGGAGTCTATGCGTTTGCTCTTTTGTTTCTTGAGCTCCACCGCGAAAAGTTCACACAAACGTAACACGTGTTACAAGACTGTTTACGATCTCGAGCAGTAAAATCTTCGACATTTTCAGTAGCAAGAAGCTCGCAGCGCGACGCGCTCTCGATCTTTGTAACCTGAACCTCATTTTTTTTATAGCACCTATAAAAAAATTATTGTAAAATAATTTCTATTTATTCTATCAAAATCAGAAAAGAGTTTTAGATATTGCAATTTATAGAATTAATAAATATTATTTTTAATATTTCAATTTTTTAATTTTATACAACATTAAAGTATTTAAATTACTAAACTTTTTTACTCTGATACACATTAATTGTAACATTGCAATTGTTACAATTGAATGTTAGTAGTCTTGTCTGATTCTGTGTTCCATACTAATAAATTATTTTCTAAATATAAAGGAGAAGTGATCCCGAAACGTGGAAAACTTTCACTTGTTTTTCTCTCCGTGTGCCTACAAGTGACACGCATTTTCTGATAAGTAGAGACCGCCAATAAAGGACAATATAACACCAGCATCGTCTGTCAGGCGCATGAAAGTGGACACGTAGGCACATTACGCACAGGAATGACTCATGAAAAGACGAATTTTCCGCACGCCGATAGGATAAAATATTAAAGAGTTATTACAACCAATCTTTTAAAAGGATGCTTATTTTGTTTTGGCTATTGTTGCAGCAGTAGCGAAAAATTGCGGTTTACCCAGGCTATACATTAAAATAAAAACAACCCAGAAACTTTCGTGTACCTGGGTCAACTACAAGACCGCGACGAAGAGAGACATAGACACTGGCTCCTGTCATAAAAGTTTTACGATCGCTTTCGGTATACATATATAGTCTTATAGGCTGTCAGTCAAAAGTAGCCTTACGCGCAAGACGTGGATTACTAAAAGCTTGCCTAAGTTGTCATATATTATTTGACAAAAAATGTCTCATACTTACAAGTACGCTGTAGTGCAATTTCAGGGAAAAAATGTGCGGTATATGAATTACGTTGTTATTTGTGCACTGTGGATAATAGACAAGAAAGAAAAGACATTTTTTTATTGGCCTAATCAAAACTCAGTAAACAATAAAACAGCTGTCGAAAATTGTGAAAAAGTGGATTTGGCAACGTGGATTATTGTTCCAATTAAAGCGATTGTCAAGTATTCAAGTAAGCTGAAGCAATAATTTAAAAATATTTTTCATTATATTGAAATATAGTATCTATGCTATAGCACTAATGATTTAATATATATATAATAAACTTTTTTAATAATGGTTTTAGATAATTTTTACGATGCTGTACATTGTAGCGTTACATTGTCCAACTTTGATATCGATTCGTCAAAAATGAATAATTTCAAAGAGATAGAGCACAAGATGTTTGAGCACTTGGCTTGCCAGGATTGCTCGAGGATGGTTCACGATATTGCAGTATCTTTCTGCTGTGGCCATGCAATCGTAGACAGCAAAGTTAATGTCAGATTATTGCCGAGCTCTCTTCC